CATGCAGGTTTTCTTCTAGGAGTTTTATCATTATGGGTCTTAACAATTAGGTCTTTTATCCATTTTGGGTAAATTCTTGTATCTTCTGTAAAATAAGGGTCCAGCTTCATTCTTTTGCAGGTGGATATCCTGTTTCCCTGGTAGAATTCGTTGAAGAGACTATTCTTTACCCAATGAATGATCTTAGCACTGCTGTCAAAGGTCTTTTGAAAGTATACATGAAGTTTATCTATTTATTCTATTCCAGACTATATATAACCTGTCTTTATGCCAATACCAAACTGTTTTGATTACTGTGGCTTTGTAGTATATTTGAAATCAAGAAGTATGAGATGACTAACTTTGGTCTTTTTTTTTTTTTTTCTTTTTCAAGATTATTTACTTATTTGTGGTCCCTTGAAATTCCACATGAATTTTAGAATGGATTTTTCAATTTCTGCAAAAAAAAATGCCATTGGAATTTGGAAGATTGTATTGATCTGTAGATCACCTTGGGAAGTATTGAAATCTTAACAACATGAAGTCTTCCAAGTTCATGAACACAGGATATTTTCCCATTTATTTGTGACTTCTTTAATTTTTTTTCAGCAATGTTTTGTAGTTTTCAGTGTACAGATTTTTTTACTCCCTTGTTTATTAAATTTATTCCTAAGTATTTTAGTTTTTTTGATGCTATTATAAAGGGAATTATTTTCTTAATTTTTTCATATTATTCATTGTTAATGTATACAAATGCAACTAATTTGTGTGTTGCTTTTGTATTCCTCAACTTTACAGAATTTATTCTAACAGGCTTGTTTTTGTGAGGGGGTGGAACTTTTTTGGTTTCTACATGTCATCAGTGAACAGAGACGATTTCACTTCTCTCTTTCCAATTTGGATGTCTTTTCTTTGCACCTACTCTCCTTAGCCCTCTCCTCCCTCAGCTGCCCCTTTCTTTCCCTTTTCCTTCCTTCCTTTCTAATTGCTCTGACTACTGTATTGAATAGAAGACTAGAGTGGGCAACCTTGTTTCATGTCTGATCTTACAGGGAAAGCCTTCAGTCATCTAGAGCTGTGCATGACATTGTCAGTGCACTTTTCATATATGGTCTTTATTACATTGAGGTAGTTTCCTTCTCTTCCTGTTTGTTGAATATTTTTACCTTTGAAGTCATATCTTGTCAAATTACTTTTTCTGCTTCAATTGAGATGATGTCCTTCATCCTGTTAATTTGGTGTATTACACTGATTGGTTTTCCCATCTTGAGTCACCTTGCCTTCCAGGAGTAAATTCTGCTTAGTTTGGGTATATAATCCTTCAAAAGTTCTGTTGAATTTGGTTTGCCCCCTGATTATTTTTATTATTTTTGAAGCAAATACCAGATGTCTTATCGTTTATCTAAAAATGTTTCCTGAAAAAGGGGATTAAAAAATCATAGTAACATTATTACCAAACCCTTGATTTATTATAATTCTTTAATATCATCAAATATCCAGTCAGTAGCTATGTTTTCTAAAATAGTTAATTAAGATACTTAAGTTCCATGCCTAGTGATTGATTGGTATATTTCTGAAGTCATTTAATTATATAGGAATTACACAAATTAGTTGCGTTTGTATACATTGACAATGAATGATATGAAAAAAATTAAGAAAATAATTCCCTTTATAATAGCATCAAAAAAACCTAAAATACTTAGGAATAAATTTAATAAACAAGGGAGTAAAAAAAAAAAAAAGGTTCACTTTTTTTTTCTTTTTTCTTTTTTGGTGGTATCATTATTCTACTGCTAAGATACATCCCCAGCTCTTTTTATTTTTTATTTCGAGACAGCCTGTCACATCATGGCTGAGAATCTAAGTTGCTGAGGCTGGCCTTGAACTTGAAGTTCTCCTGCCTCAGCCTCCCCAGTCACTGGGATTATAGATATGTGCCACTGTACCTGACCTATAGGTCTACTTCTCTTTTTTTCTTGTTGTATTTTTAGAAACCACAATTTTCTCTATGATAGAACTTTCTGATTCATCCTTGTATTGTAGTTTATTATGTTCCTTTGTCCTCTGAATTTCTTGTAGTTAGAGGTTTAGATAAATGTTTACTTTTAAAATTCTGGGTTTGATGCTATTATAAAAGGAACCTAAGATCTACTTATCTTTTAGTGATGTTAATAGTCTTTGAGGATCATTGCTTAGATCCATTGATTATATAAGGATTACAAAATGGTGAAATTCTAATTCTTTTTTTTATTGGCTATTATACCTTTATAAATATAAACTTACCCTCATCAACTATTTTAGTTACCCCCAGGCATAGTTGACATAGGAACATAGGAAATGCAGAAAAAGTGCTTGAAGTTTTTTTCTTTTTCTTTTTTACTTTGGTAGTTTTTAAAAGAATTTTCTTCTGTTCAGCATCTCTGAGCAGGAGCTCTGTGACCATCACCAATGCCTTCCAATTTTTGGACATTAATATCTGCCAGGCACAGTGCTGACCTTTCCTATGTATTACCTATTTGACTTTATATAGATAGGTTCTCTTTGTACTTGAGGCAACTGAGGCTTATAAAGTATAAATAAATTCTACTTGTACACAGCGGGAAGATAGCAGAACTGGAATCTGAACCCAGGTTTGCCTGACTCCAATACATATTCTTCAACTATTATTTATGGTACTTTCTGAAGGACCCAGTGGGATTTGAAGAGTGGTGAAGAGAGACTTGAGACATAGATTTTACAGGAGGTAAGGGTCTAGAAGGATTTTTTAAAATACCTTTATTTTATTTACATATATGTGGTGCTGAGGATTGAACCCGGTACCTCATCTATGCTACGCAAGCGCTCTACTGCTGAGCTATGACCCCAGCACCCCCCACCCCCAAGGATTTTTAATTGATAACAAGCTGTAGGGTCTATTCAGTTGCAATCAGCTGAGCCACTCTTGGGCTTCCTACTTGTTGTCTGAAGGTGGACAGTTTACTGGGAAACAATGTTGCTAGTAAAAATATGTTCCAGATCTGACCTTGTTAGCAATGTCTCCCAAGAGAAAGAGGGGTCCTCAAACAGTTTTAGATTTATTTAGTTATATGTGGTGCTGAGAATTGAACCCAGTGCCTCACACATGCCAGGCAAGTACACTGCTGCTGAGTCCCAGCCCTAGCCCTCCAAATTACTTTCTTAAAAAAAAATAGCTTTATAATTTCAAATAGACATAGAAAAGATTTTAGACATCTAGTCAAATTATAGAGGTACTGGGGAGATAGGCAGTAAGTTATATACCAAACAGGTAAATTATAATATAATGGCAGATGCTATTAAGTATTTTGAAGGAAAGTACAGTGGCACAGGATAAAGAGTGGTGGGGTCAAGCAGATGGGGGCTGCTTAGATACAGAGATCTGAGAAGCATTTATTGAGAGAATGACATTTGAGAAGAACCTGAATGAAAGTGAGGGAAGAACCTTCAAGACAACAGGGGACAGCAATAGCAGGGATTTGCTTAGGATTCCTTGGCAACAGCAGTGAAGGAGTGTGTGAGAGTAGGAGCTGGAGACTGAGCCACAGAGTGGGGAGGCTTGGGACTTTCTCTGTACACTAGGACACTCATATCCTATCTTCTTGAGCGTGGGCAGCTTCTTCTATGGCTTTAATTACTCCTTACAAGTTTCCCCCTTCTTTTTATTTCTTTTGCTGATGCTGTCCTATGTCAAGAAGAATGTACTTGCTTTGTTAACCAAAGGATAAGACCTGAGTTCTATTCCAGATTTCCTCTGAAGAAGATTGAATAGGCTGGGTGGAGTTTCTTGACTCAGTCAGATAAATCCATTGTGATAGCTCATGGATTGGGGGGGGGGGGGGAATCATTGTTCTGAAAGTAATACATATATACTTTAAAATTAAAAAATGGACCTGATGTTTTAAAATTAAATAGTAGGAAATAGATTTCTTGCTGAAGTTCATAACAGAATTTTGTACTGGGCACATGATCCATAGGCTAGCAGTTACCTCCTTCCTATAAATGCTTGTGTTGGAATGCTTTGCATTCCCAGGAAACATTTTTCCTGAATGTGCCTTTTTGGAGGAAGTATAAAATTATTCTTATACTATTGTGGTAAATAAAACATGGTTTAAAAAAGAATCCTGAACTTGTGGGTGTATCAACTTGATAATGTGTGGAATGTTGGTACAAGTATAGATATTGTAGAGAATATGGAGGAGTCCTCTGCTTTGTCCCCAAACAGAATTTCATTTATGGTCTAGTTCAATATTTAATGCCTCCTTTAGTGTTTAATCAGTTTATTTGTTTTTTAATCTGCCAAATCCAGATAATTTGACTTTCCACTGATAAAATATTTACTTGTTATAACAGGCAGGGTGCTAAACTTGGAAATTAAAGAGTACTGAGTTAAATTTAAAATTTGTTGAAAAGTATTCATCATGATGTAGTCTATTTAATGTCTTGGCAGTTCCTCTGTCTCTTCTCATTTAACATGCAAGGAGACAGACTGGCAGCAGTTGTAAGCTGAAACTTGGTTGTATGCGGAATGAGATTGGTATGGGTACTAAAATGGAGGAAATTTGAAAGTGTTACTGTGAGTGTGTGCGTTTCCTTAAATTAAAGTGTGACACACTGGCTTTAAATAGAATTTTATATTCTGTTTGTCAAGGCTATTATAACTCCATGATAGATGATCCTAAGACTGAAACTGGTTTTAAATATTGTTTTGTAGGATAACCAAATTTGTCTCTTAACAGTGTTGTCATTATGTCACACAAGTTGTTTTTATATAATAAGCATGTTTTACAACATGTTTGAGTCATTTTCCCAGGAGACCTGAAATTTATTACTCAGAAGAAAAGCATGCCTTTACAATATATTCTTAGCTGCTCCTTTCTATTACTCAGCTGTCAGGTCCTATGGAATCTAAAATAGAACTCCATCAACGGGAGACAGTCTCTGCATTGTTTACTGGACCTTTCGGATGTGGACAGTTTTATCATGCACTGCAGAGTCTCTGTTGCAGTTTCAAAGCAGCAGGATGCAGAGTACTGTTCAGGTTTTCTAGTGGGGTCCTTGAAAGGGAGGACTTTGAAAGACAGTCTCTAAAGAACAAGAAATAGGAGGAGTTACAGTACCTGACTTGAGGCTCCTGTTAATCAAGTGCTGCGCTGTGAGGAAAATAATTTTCAAGCGTTATGAAGGCGGAGAAGGATCCTGAAGACGAAGAAAATATCCTTAGAGATCCAAGCTAAGTGTAGCACAGCATGTGAGGGACTGAGTCACCCCACTCATTAGGCGTTTGTGTGAAGGCTTGCTTTGTGAGCTGCAGAGATTTGTAACTTAATGCGGAGTGGTTTGCCGTTAGCAACAAGAAACTAAATCCTGTCTATGATGAGCTGTTGGTTTTCTTGTGCTCCTAAGAACAGAGTAGGTATCCTAGTAGTTCAGTGTAACAAAAGGTTCTCATTCGGCTTTCTGAACTGTGTTCTTTTAAAATGTGCTGTTTTATTAATTTTGCTTTCTTTGGGTTACTCTTCTTCCTGATTTGCCATTAGGATTAGTGATAGAAAATAAAAGTTCTTGTTTGTTTTCTTGGATTAAAAAAGCACATGATAGAATCTTAATCATTAAGCAGCATTACTGTTAACTGACACTGGACCAGAATTGAAAATGGAGCTTGATGAAGTAGACTGAAAATCACATCCTCATGTGAGACTTTGATCCTGTTTAATTGTTTTTTTTTTTTTTAAAGCCTTCCTTTGGAATTATGTAGCTTTTTACTCCACCAGCTAGTTGGAAATAATGATTGTTTTATTTGTAAGGATAAACTAATCAATACAGAGAAAGTGTGTTAAATATGACTTAATCCCTGAGGCATTTGAAAGTGTGGCGTCTTTTAGGTCTGCATCCACTACCATTCCTCAAATCAGAGTCACTACACTGTTTTGGTCTGCACTAGAGAAAGGTAGTGCCTAAAATGTAACTTAGATTTTGAGCCAATAAATAGTGTTATTCTCTACTCATAATTGTCAATTTTAACTTCTGAATTTAGAAAGAAGTGGGTTAATCTTCATATTGTTATAGATTTCAAGACAATTATTAAGTCTGTAGGTACTTGAACCAGGTTCCATAAAAATACTGAGTTTCAAGAGTGAGTTAAAATTTTAATGTATTTATCTTTTTATACACAATTTTAATATTTTTAATGAGTACTTTGATATTTAGCTAGAAAATTGGTGTTTTTTTCTTTTTGTGGTTCAGAGAGGATATTAGATATAAAATAATCTTGCTGATTAAACAAACATTTAGGGAATCTGTCAGTAAATAACTTCCCCCGCAGAGGTTTGTTATGATATTTGTAAGCATAGGATTTGCTTTATAAGTTATGTGAAAAATGTGTAGATATTTTTTGTTCTAGAAATAGTACTGGATTTAGCACAGAATTAAGCAGGAAGTTGATATATATTTTAAAAGGTTAAAATCTTGAATGTGTAAACAACATGTATTTAATTTCTGTGTTCTTTAATTTCTGCTTACTGAGAATAATATCTTAAAATGAACTTTCTTCAAATCAAAGCTAAATATAATCTTAGTACAATTAAATATATATACAAGTAAATATTATTTTAAAAAACTACCTTTTAAAAAAAGTTTTTTGAGTTGTAGATGAGCACAAAATCCTTATTTATTTATTTATTTACGTGGTGCTGCAGATTGGGCCCAGTGCCTCACTAAACTACTGAGCTACAACCCCAGCCCTAAAAAACTACTTTTGATCTTCATTTTTAAAACATGTATTGAATTTTTGTTAAAATTAAAAATCTTTTTTATAAAATTAAAATGTAGTAAATGTAAAGAAGAAAATGAAAGTCATTTCTAATTTTATTATTTTAGATTCTAAGAAATTAATACTTTAGAGTCTTTCTAGTTTTTTTTTTTTTTTTTTTGGTGTAGAAGTTCTTTTTTTATCCTAATATATAAGCATAATGAGTTTCTTTCTGTATTGAGTGTGTGTGTGTGTGTATTATTTGCCTTATAGAAATAAATATATTTCTAACAGTACCTTTAAATAAGTGGGAGAGGAATATGGTTTCTTAAAATGTATACAGAATTCTATGGCTAACAGTCCTGGGGGCCAAATCTGAAAGGGATTTGGGGAATAGGAAAAGCAACTGATTTGGGAGAAGTCAAGATTGGGCTTGGCGACTTCAGCCATTTAATGTCCCCAGAGCATTGACTCTCCACATCTGTTAAGTAGAGAAGATAATTTTAGTTTACTAGGGTTTTTATGGGTCATTTATGTCTGGCACAGGGTGGCTTTAGTAATTATTAATTTCCTTATTTTCTCCCTGAGGACAAAGGGAACAGGACAGAGAAAATGAGAAGCATACTTTTTCTCAAAAGTACAATGTAAACTACACTTGAATGTCCTGTGTCCTGGGAAGGTTTTGTAACTGCTGTTCTACTGAAGTTAGCACAGCACAGAGAAGGAAGTTTGGGATGCTGTTGGAAAAGGAGGAATGTCTTACGCAGTACCACTTTCCCTTCTTTTTTCCTTCCTCCTCCACAAAATCTTACTAATATACTATGCCATGTTTCCTTTTTTTTTCCTTTTTGTAGCATGCAGCAGATTGGAATAAATATGATGACCGGTTGATGAAAGCTGCAGAGAGAGGGGATGTAGAAAAAGTATCCTCAATCCTTGCTAAAAAGGGAGTCAGTCCAGGCAAACTAGATGTGGAGGGCAGATCTGCGTAAGTATTGCCCGTGATGAAAGCATGTCTGAAGAAAATTTGGGTAGAATGTTGGGATACAAATGAAATTTTGTGAACTATGGATATTAATTTTTAATTAAGAAGTCTCTACCAAAACTCACTGTTAAAACTTTCAAACAGCTGGGTGTGGTGGTACATACCTGTAATCCCAGCAGCTAGGGAGGCTGATGTAGGATTCTGAGTTCAAAGCCAGCCTCAGCAACTTAATGAGGTTCTAAGCAACTCAGCAAGACCCTGTCTCTAAATAATAATTTTTAAAAAAGAAAAATCCACTGGGTATGTGGCTCAGTGGTTAAATGCCCCTTAAATCCCTGGTATCAAAACAAAAAACAAAACAAAAACCTTTCAAACAAGCTAATTTAAGAGATTCTTTACTATTTTTTTAATGATTGTTCTAATTTAAAAGATTCCCAAGTGAGAGAGAGAACACCAGATTACTCTGATGGTCTAGCTGTTTAGGCCCAAGAGTAAACCATGGCCTATAGTTATTTGATGCATTTTTATTGATAAGATTTTTTCATATTTCCATATTTGATCTTCAGAGCAGCCCTATAAAAGAAGTAGAAAAAAAGTTTACGGAAGTTAGAACGCTTGCTTTAATCTCATGGAAAGTCACAGAACTAGGATGTGAGCCCAAGCTTTTTTCTTTGAAGAGTTCTGTAAATTTTACTGTCTTTCCCCCCAAGTCCCTGATCTATTTTTTTTAAAACTTAGATACTTAAATGAGAATGTTCAGAACAGAATGGAAGCAGAATAACTAGTGTGTCCTAGAGAGACATAGGTAGTGATCCTGCTCTTGTTTTTGTTACTGAGAAGGACAGCTGGCTAGTTTATGTGCTTATGAACCATGTGTCTCTTCCCCCACCCATCCCAAATCTTCATTGCTTCCCTTCCTGTTGAGGGTGGGGATCAGTTGGTTTAAAGGGTAGATATAGATTCTGTTAAGACCCTTTATAATTATAGCAGTTAAAACCCTATCTGGGCATCCTTCCAAAGTTAAAGGTGAAAAGTCCCATTTCCTAAAATTCCTCAGTCTTATACTTGTAAGCGTTTATTCAGAATATTATAGGTGGAAACCAAAGACTAAATATAGAAATGAATATTAGGAAGTGAATAGTTAATGTTTGATGGAGGTCATTACCTTGGAATGCTTAGACTTTTAAATATAGTAAAAATAGTAAAGCATGACTATAAATTAAGTAGTTTTAAAGATAATACAAAGTTTGAAATAAACAATAAAATTTGAAAAGTTAAACATTTATAATGTTTCAGTTTCATCAAGTTATAATTTGATAGTTATAGACACATTGGTTGTTTTTGCTTTTCCCTATTTTTTTTTCTAAATTTTAAGTTATTTATGAAAATGGACTCACAGTAGAAATAATTAAAATTTAGTATCTGTAAGTGATTTTGTTTTTCCAGAAACTCTGAGATGTTAAAAGATAAAGGAAGTCTTCTGTGGTGTGAAACTCTTTGGTGAAACCTCGTTTCAGCCCATCCCTGTTTTCAGTGTTTTGAATGAACGATCTTTGAGTTTTTGTTTGAATTTTTGATCTAAGGTTCAGTTTTGGGTGAAATTACTTATAAAGTATAAAATTTAGTATCATTCGATGAACTTTGAATTCTAGTTTGTGAAATAAATGAATAGAATTAATCTTTGAGGTTTTCAGTGTAAGAAGTAGAATTCTTCCTGGGATTCATGGGATAAAATATTTTCAATTTTTATTCACACATGTAAACTATATTCCTCCTTAGTTAAAGCATTTAGTGTTTAGTTAAGTATAGGACATTACAAATGCATCTTTTGTATTATCTGTAATTATAAAAACAATTTTATTCTGAATTTTTTTAATTTTGAAATTTAAAGCAAAAAAATGTAATAAGTTCTTCTTGATCTCAGTGTTATTTAACAAATGAAATATTTGAAGCCTAGCCATTGTCACTGCAAGGATCTGTTTCTTTCCTGTGTACCTCTCTCCTAGGGCACAGCCTTTGGAACTTCCAGTCCCAAATAGGCAGGTTCACCAAGGATCCCCACCACCAATGACAGAACTACGGGCTCTAGATTTTCACTTCCCTTCCCCCAGTGGCTTTCAAAGTGGTGTTCAACCTCCCAACTGCTTTCTCCGGAATCAGCAAATGTTCACAAGGAAGAAGTGGCCTCCGCTCAGATACTAAGCTCTCCCCTCTGGGCGTCTGTCTTCCCTTGCATCCTGGCCTAGTCATTTCTTTACTATCTTTCCTCGAGGATATGTTTATATTTTGTGCAGCTTTTCTATTTGTCCTCAGAGGTACTGATTGTCCAAATTATCTATATCTTCCATTATGGAAGCAGAAATTCGTCTCTTGATTCTTAAATGGAAAACCTAAGAACTGATATTTTAATTGCAAAAGAGTATTTTTGTGAAGCAGTTTTTCATATTCCTTTACAGTTCTTTGCTCACATTTTAATAATTGATGTATTGTCTTTCTGAAGCACATTTACTATTTATAGCATACCGATATTAATAATCCATTATAGATTTGTTCTGATTTCTGACTTTTAGCATGTCATTCTTATAATATTGATTGATTTTGAAGAAGGGGGTCTTCTAAATTTTGTGAGCCAAGAGATGAAAACAAGCAAGCAAACAAAAAGTGTTATCTCCAAGATCACTGGGGGGCTAAGTATCTGTGTGAAGGAATTAGCAGCGCCCAAAAGGCTCTCATAGTGCATTGCATAGTATAATTCATTCAGTATTGCAGAGAGATTGAACGATATCCTCAGCCTTAATATATACTTAATAAATATAAACTATATTTCTCCTTAATTAAAGCATTTAGTAAGTAGTCAAGTATAGGTCATTACAAATGTATCTTTTGTATTATCTGTAATTATAAAAAACTTTATTCTGATTTTTTAAATTTTGAAATTTAAAGCAAAAATGTAACAATTGTTTCTTGATTTCAGTGTTATTGCAAAGATTGAACAATATCCTCAGCCTTAATTATTCTGTTAGAAGGAGAACTAGTCTGACTCTTAAGAACACTATATACCTTTTATCAGAAACATCTATTTTTCTTTAATTCAGTTTGTATTCAAACCTGCTTTTTTTTTTTTGTTTAAAGGAATGCTTGGTCTCTAGTTTGCATTTTATCTGTCATAATAGTAGGTAGAGTCACACACTGAATATCATAATACTTGGAAATTAATTTGCAAGCTGTCTTCAAAGTTTGTCTCTAAGTATTTAGTTATTCAAATATTTCAAGGTCCACTATCTGTCTTGCACTTGATTCTGGGGCTACAATAGAAAGGAAAACAGATAAAATCTCTTTATTGAGTTTGCAATTGATTAAGAAGAGATTCAAAAACTATAAAGAAAATAAGCATTGAATTTATGTATTATGAAAATGTTAAGTTCTTCATAAAATAATAAGGCAGGGATCAGGGAACTAGAAGTACTAAGCTTTCAGGGACCAGGAGGATCATAAAACTTTTCAATGGTCTGGCCAGGGATGCACCCTGGGTTGAGAAAGCGATGCAGAGTGCTTCTGTTTCCAGGCACCTTGCTGAACACATTCATATCCTTTGTCTCCTGGCATCTTCAGAGTGGTTGGTGTACTTGTTTAGAACCTCATTTCTACTTCAACCTGAGTTCAGTGTCCTTTGCCAACAACTCTTATGTTATTTACCGCTTTGAATTTGATAGTCAATGTCAGGTCTTAGTGCACAGAGAAAGTTTCTGTAAATGTTGATTATAAACTAGATGATCAAAGAAATGGAATGTTTTGTTATCTGGTGTCTTAAATCCTTGATGCTTCACAGTTTCTTAAGCAGGTTTGACTTGCCTTATAAGGAAAATCATTCAGTTATATCAGTTTGTGTGAAACTTAACCAATCATGAAGGTCTGTAAGCAAGAAGAAGAATTAGCTGATAGTCTTTGGTCACTGGTCACAGGTTCTTTTGTGGCTTTTAAAGGTCATTTTGCTTGTTTGGAAGGCTTAGTTTGATAATTGTAAAGAGAAGGGGTAAATTTTTTAAAAAATATTTTTTAGTTGTCAATGGACTTTAAATTTTTGTTTGTTTTTTTTTTTTTAGTTGTAGATGTACACAACACCTTTGTTTTATTTTTAAGTGGTGCTGAGGGTTGAATCCAGTGCCTTACACATGCCAGGCAAGCTCTCTACCACTAAGCTAAAACCCCAGCCCCAAGAGATAAATGTTTTGATGTATCTTTACCTCAGGATTTTGTTATAACTTTTTTTTTTTTTGGTATTTTTGGTATATTTGAAATTAAACAAAATGATCTAAATAGAAATCTTTCAGTGTACATTTATTATCCAAGCACCAATACTTTTGCTATTGAAATGGTAAATTATGGAGTTAATGGTATTAATGGTATAAATTTTCTCTTAAGACTTGAATATTAGAATATTTTATTGGTTCTAATGAATGTTCTGGAATGTATTGGCATGTTACAGAAATCCAACTTTGGAGTATTTAAAATTTCAGATTTTTGGTTTAGGGATGCTCAATATGTTCCTTTAAATATGTAGCCTTTAAATGTGTGTGTGTGTGCGCGCGCACACATGCACGTTTTGAATAAATAGTGACATTCATGTAACATAAAAATTAGCTTTGGTAGGTTCTGTGGCATAACAAATATTTTCTTTTTGCTTAGCTTCCATGTTGTGGCCTCAAAGGGGAATCTTGAGTGTTTGAATGCCATCCTTATACATGGAATTGACATTACAACCAGTGACACTGCAGGTATGTTTACCTCCATAGTCAATGTCAAAGCATCAAGAGGTTGCAAACACTGTCCACTGTTAGTGCGTGCATATGTATATGTGTGTGTTGTTTCAGTTTGAATCCAGGGCCTTGCACATGCAAGGCAAGTGCTCTACTTTTGAGCTATACCCCTGGCCACTTAAGTAGTTAGACTAAAGAAAAGTCCTTACTTTTCTATGTTCAAATAGTTGAGAAAAGGTTTACTTCTGAGTTATCATTGTGGAGAGCAGTCATGTATAGGGAATTGAGGAGAAAGGATTACTGGACTGATAAGCAGTGTAAGACCTATAGTCTAGTGCTGGTGTTAGTAGTGTTATGGGATCCTAAAATCTCAGATTTTTAATATCTTTAGGGGCTATTGAATTGATATTCATATATTATTCTAAGAGTCCTCTCTGTCATGGGGTCATTTGACATTCAGTTAAACATTTTTTGTGATGGAGAACTAACCACCTTGAAATAGCAACAACCTCAACAATAATGATAGTACCAAGGATAGCTGACATTTATATAATATTTGTATACCTTCTCTGCTAAGCTGATAAATAAGTACCTTATATGCTTCACATATGTTAACTCATTTTATCTCCATGTTAACTCAGTGAGGTATGAGGCACTGAGCTGTTAAGTACCTTGCCCAAGGCCCTGCAGTAGATAAGTTGCAGTCAGTCTGTGTTCTTAGCCATTATGCCTCAAAGGGAACCCAGTCTGTTTGCTTAGCTATATTTTTAAAAACAATGGAAATCTTTTTTACTTTATCTTCTGCTTACACTTAGTCATGCCTATGTCTGTCCTTTAAAATCATGTAGCATAAGTTTGCATATCAAAGGTAGACCCGTAAGTATTTGAATATAGCTGTGAGTGTTAACATAAAATATATGTTTTTATGTTAAAAAATATGTTTTTATGTTTTCAGTGAGTGTTACTTTTCAGTCCATCAGGATCACCATTCTCATTTCTCTGGCATTCTTTAACAGCTTAGTTCTCTGTAATTCTACTTTGTTAGTCAGTTAAATATAGGAATTGACTCAGAGCAGAGAATTTGCTTAACACCTTTAATATTTTATCCTATGACTCTGTGTATGGGCAAATAAATATATTACTGTTAACCAGTGTTGTTTTTAGAAATGAAACAGAAAAAGGGAAACAGAGATACAATTGAGTTAGTGAGGAAAATCTTTACCTAACATACATGAAATTTTAAATTAAAGTCCAAACTTAGTTTATTACCTATGTTTGAAGAAAGAAATATGTTTATTGTAGGAATGTTCCTGTATATCACTGAAGGTGTATATATTCTTAGAAATTTTAGACCTATATGTCTTCAGAACTTTTAAGACTATTTACTGTGCTGATTCCAATTCAAACATGTATTTTCTTTCTTTCTTTTTTAATCTGTGTTTTTTCTGTTCTGGACATTTTTGCCTTGTGGATAATCTAGTGACTTTTTTCCGGCCTCCTTCAGTGCAGATAAAACTCAAATAAAGCTTTCCCAAGATCAGCAGACATTGCTTCATATACTGCATTCTAACATATCCTAAAGTCTTCCTTTCTTTTGTTTATGCTGCTATTTAGCTATATTTTTATTTGATTCTTTGTCTGTCTCTAGAGATGTCCTTTCTTGAAGACAAGGACATTTCTCATTTGTTACAGAATCTGTTACAATCCAGATGTAGATATTTGATTTAAAATTTTTATGTAAACTAACCTAATTTTTGTTTTATATGAAAGTGATTTATAATGAAAGATTTCCTCCCCTTCCCAACCCCTTTGGTGTTTTCCTTAACATTGCACATTTTAGATCTGGTATGTCCTGATTTTTTTTTTGCTGCTACATCTCAAGTGTCTGGATTGAGTATTTCCTTAGGCCTATTTATGTAACCAGCTTTCTGTAACATTTTGTTGAACACTAGAGACTCACCACTATGCCTCATTCCACCACCTCCATTTCCATGCTATCTGTCAGTTATTTTTCACAATGTAAAATGTTTCTAGGAAACTTGTCCATTAATGGTACTAAGTTGAAATTTGAAATGATCACATCTGACTGATTTGAAATTAGAAGATGATTGGATGTGGCTGATATATTACATCTGTGCCTGGTCTCACTGTGTTTTGTTCTAGAATCTTATTAACCAGCTGCAGAGAAGTGATCAGGCCAGGAAAACCTATCCACTTACCTAAACTCTTGACTGGGAATTGAAAGCCAATTTATTTATCCATCCAAAATGGTCAGAATATAAATTATTTTTCTAGTAGAAAGGTGTACTTGCAAAGTCAAATTATATTTTCAGAAATTTGTGAGATTAGAAGAAAATTAAGAGTATTAAAAAGTGGAAGATAGAATATCTTAGTGAAACCCTTATATTTTTTACTATTCAAGAGAGGTGAATGTATTTCATGCTTGTATAATTATACATAGTGGATTCTACTGTCATGTATAACTAAAGTAAACCAGTAAAAAAGAGAACAAAGAGAGATGAAAGTGTAAAAAAACATAATTAGAAGAGAATGTTTGGAGTTAAGATATCCTCTGAGAGTTTACTTTATCCAGAATTCAAAGTCAGCTTTTTAATTTATTTGGTAACCTTTCCTCCCCAATCCCTTTGGCATTTCTTTTAAAATGTGTATAAAATTGCACATTTTGGTACATATTATATTTGAACAAATGGTCTGATGTTCAGAAATATAGTCTCATAATGGACTATGAATTCTAGGTGAAGTATGAAAATTAGAGAATACCTTTTCTATGACTTATATTTAACTTTCTCCATTATTACTGCCCACACTGCCTAATTGGAAATGTTACATAAAATCTGGTATTTCTTTCCTTTTCTCCTCTTCCCATTCTTTTTTTCTCTACTCCCTCCTTCTTTATGCCAGTACTTAACTACCTACTTTGTCTTAGATACTACTGTAGGTTCTGGAGATTCAGTGGTGGTGAATAAGACAAAGTTCCTACTTCTTTGAATTTGTATGCTAATTTTTCATCCCATCTTTATTGTTTTGTGTGTATATTTATCTCTTATTAAAATATCAGACTAAGTGAAAAATCATAGAAACTAAGAGCCTGCTTACAAATTAAGTATCCTGTCAACTAATTTTGGAATAAAGAATCATATTTTTATAAAAATTAATGTATGAAGAAAACAATCCTTTACATAATTTTTTTTTTTTTAGGGAGAAATGCTCTTCATCTGGCTGCTAAGTATGGACATGCATTGTGCCTGCAAAAACTTCTACAGGTAGTGGAAGTGGTTAAAATTTTAGTTTTATTATTTGACTGAAAAATGTGTTTTTAATGTATTTTGGAATTTGAGTTCAAAGAAAATGGTAGGCTAACTTTGACTGTTAGCTTACATGATATTTTTTCCATCGTTTGTGAAGGAATGTGAACAATAAAGAACAAAAACTCCAAGGGAAGTGAATTGCATAACTCAGTGTATTAAAAATAAATAACAAAGACTTGACCTTCCTGTTGACATTAGCTGGAGATTGGAATTTTCTGTTGTCTAGAATATGGCCTAAGATAAAGTGATAGAAGATATGATTTATATATTTCTATATAAATGTAAATAATTTTGACTACATAATATTAACATTATTAGTTAAACTTTTAATCCAGCAACCACAAAATTCTGTGAACTGGTTGGCTGAATTTAATCAAAGGGTCTTCCACTAAATTTCACAGTAGGATTTATTTGTTCTTATTCAGAAGTTTGTTTTAAATTTCACTGAAAAAACAAACAAACAAACATATTTTCAATATTCCGTGCTATTGTAATGTACCGTATGTTTCCTGTTTGGTGAAATACCGTGAAATTTACAGTTATATCATGTTATTATATTTGTTTCATGTCAAAATATTTGCTACATTGTCTAAAAAGTCTTAAGTTTCTTTGATATTTGTAATATTTTAAGAAATAACAGCTGTTCATTTCAGTCTGGATATTGAATTTTAAAACAAAACTCTCTCAGATCACCCAAGTTTCTGTGTCTTAACAGTACAATTGTCCTACTGAACATGTAGACCTTCAGGGGAGAACTGCACTTCATGATGCAGGTAAGCAAAGGTTTCACATGAACACAAATGTTTGTTAAAACATCTAATCATTTAAATTAATGTCGAAGTTTTAACATGTATTGGTATGATTCATGGTGAAATAAAGAATGCTCTACACTTCTGTGTATAATTTATTAGATTATAAAGTTTAAAAAGATTGAATCAGTGAATTTTTACAGGCCAGTTTGTTAGATACTAAAGGCACAAAGATAAATACAGCATACCCTGCTCTCAAGGAGCTCCAAGCACTGTGTGTGTGTGTGTGTGTGTGTGTGTGTGTGTGTGTGAATTGTTAAGATATATGGGAAGTGGGAAAGACTTTTGTTTCTAAAATTGAATGCACCTAATTAGCATATCTAAACCTTATTTTTTTCTCACTTGCAGAATGAAGTTAATAATACTATTACAATTAAATCATAAATAGTGCCTGAATTAATTAAGTAATTAATTAATTATGGTGATTGTTTTGACTTAGAGGTGTCAATACTGAATTTCATATCACTGTAATGTGCTATATATAAAAAAATTTACTAGTAATTTCACAGAGTTTATTGTTCACACTTATGTGTCAAAGTGTCTGAATTATTCTTTAGGTGTCATAAAGAAAATACATTGAAAAAGTTAGATGTTCAGGTATTTTTGGAATGTAAGATAGCCTGACTTCTTGTGTGGTTCTTCTCAGTGTGAAATTTCTATAGTTTACTAGAATGAAAAAAATAAATCTACCCTCTCTTTTCATGTAAAGGGACTATTTGCATGACTTAAAGTGGTCCATATTAAAGATACACTTTAATTTCCTTTAACTTTTTATGTCTTAATTTTCTTTCACTTTTTTCTCTTTTGCATTTTAGGTGCTTTTCTGTTTTTATTTCTCAATGCATTTTCTTCTCTTTTATTTTTATATAGAATGGTATTATATGCAAAGCATTTTCATGTACATTATCATTTCAGCCTTACAATAAAATTCCAAGAGTTATTATGAATTTTATCCCCTTTATTTAGAACTGGTACCACCTGATCAATTGAAATCTTAATATTTGTTCAATACATTTATTGGTAGGATGGATATCTTTTTAGTGCTCTACCAAAAGAACTCTAATATCAGCTTCTTACAAAAAACTTTTGAATGTAGTATAGATTGGCAGGTGACTCATGGTCATTTCTGTATGAAATTCTTTTCATCTTGTTGCTACTCTATCTTCTGGGTTTCTTCCTCAACTGTGTGGTCGAAGCAGTTATAGTCTTGTCTATGAGGGGACTAGAAGTGAGCGGAAAGGGAATATGGGTGGACCACATGCTCAAAGTCTAAGGCCCAAACTTAGAAGTGGTAAATAACCCTCCATTCATATTCTCCTGAAAAAAAGCAAAGCCAGGTGGCATTTTTTATCTGTAAAGGGGGCTCAGAAGTATAGTTTCTAGATGACTAGTCAGGTTATTACACAGTTGAAAAGGGGGAGAACAGATTTTGCAATTTCTGCTCTAGTCCAACTCTGTCCTTGCAGATATTTCTGTAGCCTCTACTCCCCACACATGGAATCCTTCATCTTCTTCTCAAGGGTGAGAATACATAAATCAGTTCTTCAGCCTCTAGCTCAAAGTCCAGGATTTCTGGATGTTGCAACAGTTTTATTATTTTAGCTCTGAGGTAACACTTCATAGTCTAGCAGTCTATAAATTCAAAGGGAAGATATCTCCTTATAATATAGAATGAAGGCACAAGAACAGGGTAAGTAAAATAAAGATTCCTTTTTGGAAGGAAGGAACAGGGACACACAGCACTCACTAGTTAGTAACAGGTATCAAATCCTGCTGAGCAGAACTTGGAACAGGACTTCCTGCTGAGATCCTAGGGTTCAATTTCTTGATTTGTTCTACTGGTGCTGCCACCTTCCCCTTCTGTTTTATGGGAGACATCCCTTATCCATTGCTCTCTGTGGCTCCTGGCCCTGCCTTTAGGGAGAGTCCTACTTGTCTATATTCCTCTAAGACAGGTAAATTGGTTATTGGAGAAAGTTGCCCTTTGTGGAAGCAGATTAAGTTCGGAACAACTGAGTTTCAGCTGACTGGGCTTTTGCAGTAGGACAATTCCCTCAAAACCTATTTGCTTCCAACCACTTATATACCAAGAACCATATCAGAAGTTATGTGCTGGACATATGGTTCTTAACCCTCCATTATCTCTTGTCTTTATTTCTAGACTCAGGATTTTTTTTTTATCTTATTTTAATGGCTACTTATCTTAAAGCCATCTGAAACAGTAGTCTTGAATGTTAATATAACATCCTCAATCTTATCTTTATTCTAGGATTTGATCTTTTTTTCCCTTGCTATAAGGCCTTTGAGAAAAGTTGTAAGCAACAATGATTTTATATTGTATTGTTTGGTATAGAGAAACAATTTGCTTCACCACACTTGTGAGGTCTCAAATACATATATTATTAAATATATCCTATTAGTATGGCTCTTTTCTATTGCCTAACCAAGAAAGCCTTCATAATCACACGGTATACCTTCTAAATTATCATAGATGATAGCTGTGTAAAATATTTTGTCACAGCATAAGAGGTTCACCAGATTTCTAGCCTGAGATTTGTTAACTCATCACATGGCATCCAACCATTAAACCTGTACTGTTTATTTTATGTATTTGTTATATTAGCACCCCACTTAATAGTAATTTTTGTCTTAGGCTAAGTTACTATATAACAAACCATAAAATAACATTAACATTGGCTTTAAAGGAAGGACAGAATTTCTTTCTTTCATATCACAGACCTGATGTTCACATTGGCTAATGCTTCGCTCCACAGGGTCATTTAGAAACCCAGATTTCTTCCATTTAGCAGATTTACCATCTTTTAGAGTTGTTCTCAATTTTAAGGCTGAGCTGGTAGCAGGCACTTCTGTGTTCCAGCTCATAGGAAGGGAAAAGATTGCAGAGGAAGGCATCACTAGTCTTTTAAGGTCTAGACTGGGAAGTGACACACATCACTCTTATCACATTTCATAGACAGAATCAAAGTCACATGGCCACACTTGGCTATTGGGGGGAGGGATTGGAAAATGGAGTCATTAGATGAGTCACTATGTGCTCAATACAACTTTATTATCATGGAAGAGAGGGTAATCCAAGTTGGGTGACTAGCTAACAGTCTTCACCATGGACCTTTAATACTAACTTTTACATGTTCAGTATATTATAACCCTGGAATTTATTAAGCTTTTCATTTTTAATTCTCATTTATAGTTGAACCTGGCTAGTTATAGATTTTAGTTTCTGAATTAATGTATTCAGTTTGGTTTATTTCTTTATTAAGTTTGATTAGCATTTTAATGAGGGATTTGCTGGCTCAGAGACAAAAATTAAAATTTACTTGATTTTCTTATGTATATTTTGTTTAATTCTATTAAATTCCACCAAGGGGAAAAAAATAATGTGCTCATAAGGCTTTGAAAAAAAATCATGAGGCGTGTAAACAGTCTGAATTTAATAAAAAATTTTTCCCAATGTAAATATGAAGTCTAGTGTTAGTCAAGAAGAAGTGTTATGTGATTTTATAATTTTAAGCAAAATGGCCCGATTTCCATCATTAAAGGGCAGATATTGCATTCTCTACTTTTAAAATAAAATGTGAATTGTATGTTTCATTCTTTACTCACTGTGACTGTACTATAAAATGAATATAAAAAAACCCCACTAACTTCAAGAAACAAGGTAGTTGTAGCTATGTTTAAAAACATGCTATAAATAGAAAATTTAAGTTTGGTTTTTATTATCTCTTTTGCCCTTGATTAGTAATATATCCTTATCTTCTACAAGGATGACAATAGTTCCTTGATCCTAATAAATTATTCAAAAAGTTACAAAATGATCTCATATAACCCATTTTTAAATAGAAAATTGATGCTTATAATGCTACACTGAGGATGATGAATATAAAGATTGGTGGTGTAGAAATTGAAGAACTATATTGCTTTATATGGACCTAGAAAAGCACCATGTGTCCTAACAGATGTTCACCATTTATCACTTTTCTTTCTTTCTCAAAGCAATGGCAGACTGTCCTTCTAGCATACAGCTGCTTTGTGACCATGGGGCCTCTGTGAATGCCAAGGATATAGTAAGTCAGTTTATGTTTTTATTCTCATTTTGTCTCATGTATTCTAACTTTCTTTTCTTAATGCTGGTTTATTTTTCTTGTTGCTTAGGATGGGCGGACACCACTTGTTCTTGCTACTCAGATGTGTAGGCCAACAATATGTCAACTGCTGATAGATAGAGGGGCAGATATTAATTCCAGAGACAAACAAAACAGGTAATTCTTTTTTCTTGGCTCCAAGGTAGCAGCTGGAAGCACAGTGATTCTGAAACTTTGCTGCTGTGATTTGGCCTTTCCCTCTCCTTCTCTTCCCTCCTTTGCTTGCTCTTCTTTGGAATTATCATCCACCCCTCACTTTTCTTCAGTTGCTGAAGGATAAAGGAAAGGAAAATAGGGGGAAATGACAGGCTAAATGGTGAATAAAAGCAGTGATTAGGGCCTATATTTGGGTCAGGGAACTGAAGGAAAAAGGAAGTACATCCCTGTGATTTTAAGCTTTAAAAAAAATCTTTAATGAAATGGGCATAAATACAAAATACAGAAGAATTTAAAAAATTACATCTATAGACTGTTTCTTCACTTGTGAATTTTTTTTAGAGTCAGGTGGTTCTTGGACATTGTAAAGCTTGACATGGTCAATTTAGATTTTCTTGAGGTGTTTTCTCCTTAGCCTATCATAGCACAGTGCTGTCTCCTCTGAAAATGAGTCTGTTTCTTTATCCTAAGCTTCCCTTAGTTTACTTTCCCCCTGTATATGAATGTTTTTCAGGTAATCTGCTCTGATAATTTCCATCCACAGTCTGCCTTTTCTCCTTCTCTGAGTCTGGTGTGTCATGGTGTTTTCTATATTATAATTTTGATGTATATATAGTCACAAACTTTCTGGTAGCAAATATCTGAAATATATTCCCCTAATTAGTTGGGCTGTTGTAATAATTTATAGCTAAGTTTCTGGGATTTTACAAATAATTACTAATAAATTTGTTCTTTTTATTTAATTTTATTCTTCTAAACATGTATACTATTTATAGTTCATTGAAAGAAGACAAATAAAATAGTTTTTAGATGTCATATTTATAATTCTAATTGTTTTTATTGTGCAGACATCTCAATGAAGGAAATTCTTAAGCAATTAAATCACTAATGTGATTAAAAAGATGGAATTCTTGTATTATTTTGTGCAGATACTATAATCTGTTTGTCTAAGCATAACTAATAAAATTTGATTCTAAAATTAAAATTTTAATTTTAATTACAGAGGGTTGATCTGGTGATTTATGTATAATGCCTTACATTTTTATAGTTCTTTTGTTTTACACACACATACAAACACACACACACCATGATGTTTTATAAACTTGCTAGATAGCAAATGATTTTAAAATTATAGTTTTTGACACTGTATTCAAGTTTTTTGTGGTTGTTATTGAGTTTTTGGCATTTTTTTAAAGCTAATAATACAACTTTGTTAATGCCTATTTTGTATAGAATTTTATACCAGCAACTATGGGGGTATTGGTTGTATAAGAAAGAGCTTACATAGGATAGTAAAGGCAAGAATAATTTTCTTATGAAATTCAGTAGTCTCAATTGAAGTTTGATATAGGATAAGTCACTTTATTTTGTTAGGTGTTGGTTCCCTCAGTTGTAAAAAAAATTTGACAAAATAATTTTTAGGGTCCTTCTAAATTTCCATGACAAGTTAATTGTATTATTTCATGATGATTGTTTGCTGACATATGTGAAATGTTTGAGTGCTGATGGCTTTCTCATGCAGAATAAAGGAATGGTCTATGTTAATGTGTGAGTAGTTGAGGAAAGTTCATTTAATGAGACAAGTTTTAAATGAAGCTTAAAGACATGAAAGCCCTCCCTTGGAGGATAAATGATTTCTCGGGGAAGTTTGTGTGATGTGGTTCAGTTTATGAAAAGACTGAGTTAAGGTTTGAGCAGAGGGGGTGACAATATTAGTTGTAGAAGATTTTTTTATGGTAATTATTTATACCACATTAATGAACTGGAATAAACAAGTTTAATTTGACAAGTAATTAAAGTATATAAGACAGCATAAGGTTTAAGCTCTGCAAACATAAAGTAAATGTTTTTTTCATAAATGTGATGAAATTAAAATGTAAGATAAACAGATAAAGTAAAATCTGTATCTATAATGATATAATCTCTTAAAGTAGTACTGATGTTTTAAGGAGGCCTCTAGCTGAATATTTTTGAAACATTTCCTTGGATTTTCCTCAAGGTCTTTTATTCTTCCCCTTTCCTTTTAGAACGGCTCTCATGCTGGGTTGTGAGTATGGTTGCAGAGATGCAGTAGAAATCTTAATTAAAAATGGTGCTGATGTAAGCTTACTGGATGCCCTTGGCCATGATAGTTCTTACTACGCAAGAATTGGTGACAATCTGGACATTCTAACCTTACTGAAGACTGCATCAGAAAATACCAGCAAAGGTATTAGCAGTTCTCTATGACTAGAAAAGTCCAGGTTAAGAAAGAGCAGCTTTTTAAAGATTTAGATAATAAATAATAAAGTTTTAATAAAGTGTTGGTTTCCCTCCCTTTGTACCATAGATTTGCTTACTTACATCATACCCCTTTGTTTTGGGACAGTGTCTGTCACATTTATTGTGTAGTTTATCAAATAAATCCTGATATACTGTGGACTAATTTAAGAACTGAGAGGAAGAGTCAACTCAAGGGTTTTACTAATATTTTTTAATTGACAAATAAAAACTGTATATATTAATATTTTTGATAAGGAGTGAAGCTCCTAACTTTATACTCAGGAAATTTTAAAGAAAAAAAAACATTTTAACATACGTATATAAAGTATTCAAATGTTATATATCAAATGCCTATACCAAGTGTTTTTCTATTTATGAAAGAAAAATTGGAAAATGCAGAAGAGCACAATGAATAAAGTTAGACACTCATCCTGCCACTGAGAAGCCTTTGTGGATATTTTGAAGCATAGCTGTCCAGTCTTTTCCTTATCTACAAAATTGAAGGTCACCTATAACACTGAGTTGTAGCTTACTTTTTTATGTAACATATTTTGAAGACTTTTTCATTTTTCTATTTTTTCCTCATATTTTTAGTATAATTTTTATTAATGCATAGGATTCCATTTACTTAAATTAAGGCAATTAATTAAGACAATTTTCTGTTGGTGGTATCTAAGTTATATCTGTTTTTTCACTGGTTTTTCCTTATGTGTTTTGGGCATATGTTTATTTATTATTCCCCTGAGATCAGTTCCTAGAAATTGAATCACTAGGCTTTAGGATATGTACATTATGGCTTTTGAGATAGTTTAACAAGTTGATGTTTCAGTTATCTAAATATTGTCATATAAAAAAAAACCTTTGTTAATTTGGTTAGCAAAAATGTTATTTTATTGTTGTTTTAAGCATGAATTTAAGAATTAAAACTAAAAAGTAGTAAGCTTTAGAGGAAACTTTAAGATTTATTTAGTTAATATTGACTGAGTGGTATAGTTAAGGAATGCATATCTACCCATAATACTCTGCTGTTTTACTGTTTTTCTCTCTTTAAATCTTTAGGGAGAGAACTTTGGAAGAAAGGACCATCTCTGCAACAGGTAGATCTTAATTTTAATTTTTAAAAATTGTAGGTATTGTGCAATTTAAGTAAAATACTTAGTAAAGCTGGTTAATGATTATACACAACTCATTGTGAGTTTAAGTGCATGCTTTCTATCTCCCCAGTTTATCATGCCCATGTAGAATGTAGTATTAAGGTCATAAGATCCTATTATATTAAGATAATATCACTTAGCCTGGTAATGGATCACAATCACAATGAATGTATCCAGTGGGGAATAAATAGCCTCCTGGTTTGGGCATTTAGTTCCATGTATGTGGTGATATCACTCCTCACTGAAATTATTAAATGATGAATTTTAGCCTGGCAGATCATAGGCAGTTTCCCCCTATCCTCTCTCAACAACAGAGCCAATCTGTACTGATTTGGGAAAATTCTTTTAGTGCAATAAGAACTGAAGAAAACAGTTAAGAACTGATTATCTGTTGTGATTTCAATACCACTGTTAATATAGAGTATTTTCTATTTCTAAAAGTCTTTTTCTATGTATACTCAATTGAGGACTTTAAAATAGCACATGGAACAATTCATACTTATACTAACCACTTAACAAATCACAGTTTAACCCTGGTTTTATGTCCTGGTTTGAGTAAATGTCTTGTGTTTTCCTCTCATCTTTTTGAGTTGAAGTGGGGTGGTTGACAGCACTCTGGCTGCAGAGCTAGTGTAGGCAGCTTTCCTCTTCTGCTGGCTGTTCCCTTCCAGGCTTTCAGCTTTTCTCTAGTGAGAGGAACCTGGGCACTTCCAAACCCTGAAGAAAAAGTAATCAGGTACCTTCTGAGCAATTCTATTCATCATTCTGCACCATTATCTCTACCTCTCACCTCAATCTGAAAGCTGTATTAAAGCTTGTTCTCCTTTTCAATCCATCAGAATGAAGTAACATGTTCATACATGGGTCATGTCTGTTGATACTTTCTTTTTCATCAACCTTCTCCCTGTTTCTCAGATAATTTAAGTAGGAGTCGAGTGAGATAAAAAGTATACTCTTGTGTTTATACCAGCCATCCCACAGAAGAGAAAAATGAGTTCTGAAATGTACAGATATTTAAAATAAAGAATTATTGAATATTTACATGGGAATAGTACTCTGCTCAGTACTGTAAGGATTTCTGAGTGAATACAAGGAGTTAATTTTCTACTAGGAGCAGTAAGAGTAATGACTCCTAATTCCTGTTTCCATATTTATTGAATATACTTATAGACTATCTACTATAAATAGGATCTGTTTTTGTACAAGCCATGCAGTCCCTATTATCAAGAAACCTGCAATATAGTTGTAAAAGGAAGACTTAGTTGTTTGTTCAACAAACACCTACAGTGTGCCAGTTACTGTTCTAAGTGTCAGGATATTGCCAGGTGCAAAGTTGTTGCCCTCATGCAGCTCCCAGGTTATTGAGAGAGAAAAACAATAAACAAATGACCAATTGCATCAGAGCAGATGCTACGAAGGAAACAGTATTAAAGGATGAAGATGGAGAGAGTGGGGGCTCCAGAGAAGTTCACAGGCTGAGGGGGAGGCAAGTTACAACCCTTGATGAGGGAGTGTGTTTCGCCCACCTGTGGGACAGTAGAAGCTCAGGTTGGCAGAAGTGCTGTGTACACAATGGAGCGGGCAGAAGGAGAGAGTGGTAAAATAACCAGGTGCTGTGTTAAGAAGAATTTGGAGTGGTAAAGACTTCAAATATATGTCTTCTGAAGACCAACAGCTTGCGGAAGGCTTATATCAGCCATTAGTTGTGCCTGGGTCACTGCCTCTTGGAGCTGGAAGGGCAAGGAACATTCTCTTCTTGTTGCTAAGAAGGCCTTGTCAGGAAGCTGGGTCTTCATGGGTGGAGTTGACTTAGTTTGTCTGAGCAGGGGTGGGTTAAGGAGTGGAGGAAATGGGTGAGGATTCTGAGAGGAAGGCTGGGAATGAGGGCTCTATGATGAGCCAGGAGTCATAGTGGGCACCTGTAGTCCCAGGCAGGAGGATTGACTGAGTCTGGGCAACACAGTGATTTTGAGAATCTGAGATTGGCCTGGGCAACACAGTGAACCGTGTCTCAAAAACAATAAAAAAAATAAGAGTGATATGATGAAGTGAGCTGTTAATAAATGTCAAATGCCTCTTGAGGAACAGTCCTCTAGTAGAATGAATGAAACTAGAAACATATTTTGGAAATTATGGCTACAGAATATCTTTTTAAAGGGACCTGTCCCCGAATTCTAGATCCGAACTCATTATAATGGTAGTTGAATAAATTGATTAAACAAACAAGTAATATAAAACATGAAAAATTATCTAGAGGAATTAAAGCAATCTTTTTTTTTAACTTTAAGAGTGATGTTTCTAAATTGGTTATTATGCAGATTTGAAGACCAATTGGATTTTTTAAAAAGGAGGTTATTTGTTCTCTTGCTTAATCATTGTGCTCTGTTTTTGTTAAAGCAAATCTCTAAACTGGAATAAAGTTCCAAAGCTGTAAGTGTTAAAAAATGGAACATATACCCAACAGAGTTATTTAGAGATCTTTTATATATCCAAGTCAGTGTCTCTTCTTAACACCGCATCTTGATACTTTGTTTTAGCAGTCCTCAGAAAAGGAAATAATCTCCATATTGTCTTTCAAACTTAATGTGGTTTCCTCTTCCTCTCCATTAAAAAAAAAAATTTTAGTTGTAGTTGGACACAATACCTTTATTTTATTTATTTTTATGTGGTGCTGAGGATTGAACCCAGCGCCTTGCACTTGCTAGGCGAGTACTGTACTGCTGAGCCCCAGCCCCAGCCCTTCCCCTCCATTTTTTAAAAACTAAATTCTTCCTATGAAGTGGTGTGTGATGTTTTATAGCACAACATTCATATTGTGTCTAGTAAAAAATTTACTTTTTAAATTTTGTGAGTTTAGTTAAAATAAATCCTTAATAAGTTTAAAAAATTGGTAGTGTTTTAAATTATACTTTGATTTTTTTAAAGCCTCTATCCTTAAAGATGCTTTCCATTTAGGGGTTTTTAAGTGGAAATACTGCCATCTTGTGTTATACACAGTAAAATTTAATATTGAATGAACTGAAAGTCACTGGTTGGGTGTATTGACTATTGAGGAAAATATTACTGTTCCATATTCTTATACTTGTTAATTTGTCTTTTCTTAATGTTTTACCCAAGCGAAATTTGACACACATGCAAGATGAAATAAACATGAAGTCAAATCAGAGGGAGCATCAAAACATTCAGGTACAAAGAAAAAAAATTAATATCTTACTTTTAAAAGAATTTCAGTGTTGTATATAGTGGGATGGGGGAAGTGAGAACAGAGACACAGGTGAAATGAATGGGGAAAGGAAAGGAAGTTTGTTATGGTTGGGATATTTTCTTACTCTTCTTCAAAAATTGACTTTTGTTATGAGTGTTTGAGTCTGTAGTAAGTAACTCAAGTATATAACAGAAGTATAGTATAGAATACATTGTTTCGATTACACTAGAAAATCAAATAACTTAGCAATTTTATTAACTCTTTTTGATTTTCATGTCTTTTATAAACCATACATTTATGTTCATGTTGTAAAATTAATTATGGTAATAAAAGTAATGGTAATATAAAAAAATAAAATCTAAACTTTAAAAATTTTTTATTTTTATGAAGAAAAATAATTTTGTTAAACTAACTACACAGTGCCTTTTTATGTTGGTCAAAGTTTTCCAGAGTAATTATTAAGTGGATTATGTTGAGTAAAGAACTCATACTTAGTTTATTACTGGAACATCATTAAATTATAAGTTAAATAGCTGCTTTCAATATAATAAAAGCATTTTATTTGGGTTTCTAGGTAGTGTTGAGAAAGTAGACTGTGGACTTAAGTAGGAACCTTTCATATTTTATCAGAGTCGTGAAATGATTAGTTTAACAGAAGCATTAGAATGTCTCATAAACTTTGGAGTTTTTTTTTTTTTTTTTTTTTTTTGTACCAGGGCTTGAACCCAGAGGAGTTTAACCACTGAGTCATATCACCCCCCACTCCCAGTTTTTTTAAAAAAGTCTTATTTAGAGACAGAGTCTCACTGAGTTTCTTAGGGCCTTGCTAAGTTCCTGATGCTGTCTTTGAACTCGCAATCCTCCTGCACTCCTAGGATTACAGGTGTGCACCACTGTACCCAGCAACTTGGGAATTCTTAAGCAAAAGTTAAAGTGGCATATTCTGCCATATTCTGTTTCCAAGTGTTGCTTTTATTTTTTATTTGTTGAAATCAAATTGATTAGTTACTCTCTTTAATATACTTGTATTTATTATCATTGGACAGCAATTTTATTACTCATTTTTAGATTTTGAGTAACATTGTCATTGAAATTATATCATTTGTACTTAAAACTGTTTTATATATATGTATATCTGTGATAGCAAACTGCTTTTTAAATTTATTTTATAAAAATTTTTATCTGTTTTCTCTCTTAAGGATCTGGAGATTGAAAATGAAGATTTGAAAGAGCGGTTGAGAAAAATTCAGCAAGAACAAAGGATACTATTGGATAAAGTCAATGGTTTACAATTACAGTTGAATGAGGTAAATAATCTGCACAGTATTTTTAAAAATCTGAAAACTGTTTTAGTACCTATAATTATCAATAAGATATTGTTACCAGTTGCCTGTCATTTCAGGTCACAATGCTAAAGGAGGTAAAATCAAGTCATTGTCCTGAGGACAGTTGTATCTTACTAGAGGCCAAACCCTTTCCTTGAAGCTTCTAATGTAAATATATAAAGTAATGCAACCCAGATGATAAGTAAGGACATGTGAGGGACATTCAGAGGAGAAAGGAGAGAGCTGTGAGCTGTTGCTTCTAAGGTGGTACTTCCTGCAAGAAGATGGTATTTTGACTGAATTTTGTAGCAAGCAAGAAGGAACAAAGGGATATTCCAGAGAGTGCTATTATGAACAAAGTCACAGAAACAGTGATCTATATTATCTATTGTGTAAAAGTTGAAAATGCAAGAAATATCTATAAGCTATTATTTTTTAAAGAAAATATGAAATCCAGGATAATCATTTCACTCTTTAAATGCATATTTTATCATGTGTATGACTTGTCACAGGTGCCATCTTGTGTGATATTTTTATTTTAAGAGTGGGAAATAAGCCCATGATTGGGATAGCTGTCCTTTTGGTTCTAATTTTCCTCATTATTGTAATATATTTCTCTTTTAGATTTTCCTAAAATGGAATGTATCCAAAAGCAAATTCACCATCTTAACTGGAAATTAGTCATTCCCTTTTTTTTTTTTTTTTTGTTCTAAGAGCCCTACTGACTGGTTTTGGTATCTGCACTAACCTTAGAATCATCTCTGAGTCCCCTTTCCTACTGCCTCTCCCCACTACATTGATTTAGTTGCCCTGAGGATAGTCACTGAGATAAAAATTGTGACAGGCTAAACTCAAGATTGGTTACACTTAAAGACTGAATTTTGATTTATAGATAGTGTAAAGTACGCATCAAGATGTGGCACACAGATAAAAAATGCATAAAAATTGATAAGTCCAATTAAAATAAAATGGAGATAATTATTGATAATTTTCAAGAATTGAAACTAGGTGATTGTGTACTTTGAGTATCAAGATGGAACAGAAATATAGATACAACTAAATATTACATTGTAGAACTATATACCATTAGATTTAAAGAGAAGATCTTAAAAGTGGTTAAGAAGGAAAGACAATGTAATTTATATGGACAAAAAGAAAAACCATTAATACCATCAAAATGCTAGCAAAAATGAGCTTCAGCCTAGACTTTTGTTTCCAAGCACTCATTCAAGAATGAGGGCAGAGTGAAGACATTTTCAGATTTCTGAAGACTAAGAGAATATGCCACACGTAGGCCTTTAATAAAATAATCATTAAAGAATGTACTTCTGCATCAAGAAAGATAAACTAAGAGGAAAGTTGTGGGATATAGGAAACACAGATGAGTCCAGAAATTGATAAATTATGTTGGTAAGATTAATTTTTCATTATAAAAATTAAATACTAACTTTGGTCGGGATAACTTCTTAGTTAAGGCAACAATTAGAATACATGCACATTCTTCCATTCACATCTCCACTGAAAGGAGAGTTAAGGGACATTTCAAAAGCATCTCTCAGGACAGGTATGGTAGGAACAGATATCATAGTAACAAAATATTGAATCTGGAAAGCAGATTAATGAACAATAAATTATTAGACTTGAGAAATTTGAATCTAAGGCCAGCAGTGGGGAAAGTGGAATGATTTATAATTCATAACCTCTAAAAAGCTTAGAAGTTGGTAGTGTCAGCTATCTCTGGATTTAGGAATGAAAGCTGAATGAGTAGTTAAAATTCTGTTTAAAAAAAAAACAGGTTCCTAAATACCTGACTCTTTTCATTCAGTTCTAACTGCTCCTCTTTATTCTTCTCAATAGAAGAATATCTGAACTGAGGACACCAAGTGTAGCCAAAGGTGGGTGCACCGTAAGAAACACACTAGGTTAAGTAATAGTGCTAAGATCCTGTTGCTCTGCAAGTGAGTCCTTTACAGCTGGCAGGAGATTGGAAGTCTTCTCAAAGGAATCTTTCCAGCCCAAGGAGGAAACACTTTAAAATGCTGAAATGAAGGGTTCCTTACCTAGCTGGCCCCATCATACTGTCTTGCAGTACAACCCTTAGTCATACACAGGTGTAGACATTTCAGTCACCTCTTTAAGTCTTCACTTTTGAACACAAGCAAAAACCAAGGTGCTGCATATTTATGAGCTGTGGAAGGTAGAGATTTAACACACAGGAGAATGTAAGAAATGGTTTGTGCAGGAAAGCAAGTTTTAAAAAACAAAACCCTAAAACTGACTACTCTTAATATTTTCAGTGACACAAGAAAATATCTCATCTAAAAGGGGAACATTCTGATATTTAAAAAAAAAAAAGTGAATCTGGGAAAACGCCCTGCAAGTATAGAAAAAAGATAAAGACTTATCAACTAGAAAAAAGTAGAAAGATTGGAAAACGGAAGAGCATAGTCCAGCATCTAAGTAATAGGTGTTCCAGAAAGAGATAGCAGAGGGGAGAAAATCATCAAAAAGGTAACTAAAGAAAATTTCCCAGAAATGAAAGACATGCTTTTCCACATAGAGAAGACCCACCGTTGATGAAACTAGCAATTGTTGTGAAGCTTCAGAGAATTGAGGACAAAGAAGATCCTACCAACAACTGTCTTCCCCCACTCCCTAAAAGAGTCAGGTAGCATGTTCAAGGATCAGAAATCAAAATGACTCTGAATCTCAACTGTAACATTGAAAATGGGAAGACAGTAGAGGATACCTTCAGAATTTTGAAGAAAATAAATTTCATGCTAAAATTCTATCGCCAAATACTCAATCAAACAAGAGGATAAAATAAAGATAATTTCATATACACAAGGTGTATTAGGTGTTTATTAATGTGTAATGTGTTACCCTCAAACTTAGAAGCTTTAAGAGCAGGGTTGGTTCTGGCTCCAGGTCCCTCATGTTGAAGTCAGGCAGTCAACCAAGCTGCAGTATCTGAAGGGCTAAAGGATCTGCTCTGAAGCTAACTGACGTGATGCTTGTTAAAGGGTCCTCATTCCTTGCCATGAGAACTTCCCGTAGGACAACTCATGACATAGTAGCTTTTAACAGAAAAATAAATTAGCAATTTTGATCTAGCATATAAAATTAATCCTGAACTTTGGAATTATAGAAGATATACATTCCTTTACTATAAATATAGAAAGATAGTGGCACAGATGTTCACTTTATTGTCCTCTAAATAATACTTAAAGTATTGAAAATGGACTTATTTTGTGTGTATGTGACATTTTACAATAAGAAAGCTCATACCAAAAAAAGAAGGCCATTATCAATAATTTAGGTGTATGATAATAGCAAAGGATTGAACTATAGTAGAGGCCAGGGGATTGAAGAAGCAGCCGTAGGCAGAAGATATGAGGAGGAAGAGCAGATAGGACTTGGGAAGTTTCTTTTGACTTGAATCAAAAAAGTACATGTGTTCATATATGTATTTTTCTTAAAGAAATATGTGTTATGTAGGTCTCTACATAGAAGAGTAATTGAATTGAATTACACAAAACTTTGAATAATGTAAAAAAAAAAAAAAGTGCTTCTGAAGTCGGTAAGAAGAATGAACTACAGCAGACATGGTAGCACTTACCATTTTCTTCTCACATCCTTGTCTCCAATCTTAAAGACATTTACCAGTCTTTTAAAAATATATTTGCCACTCTCTTATCTTTTGAGATAAACTTTCAAGAATTAAAATACATTTCTTTTTCTTAAATTTAGGAAGTAATGGTTGCTGATGATCTGGAAAGTGAGGTAGGATGCTAAATTTTATTTTAAACATATAAAGTGTTTTGTAAATTTGAAGATAATATTGTAGTAAAGGTTTAAGTCCTAAATTGAGATGAAAAACAAGATTCTATTTCTAGTTATTGCTTAAAGGGAAAGAAAAACCTATGTATGACTTAAAATTGTTTTGAATATTGTTTTCTGTGGAACTTATCATGACATGATGAAAAATTCTAAACATTATAAAGGATGAACATACTAAGATTTAAATAACAGAGATTTGAATTTTTTATAATATTTGTATATATTGCATGATTTATTAGCATATTTATGTTATTAATTCTACTAATAAATTCCACCAGGTTAGAGAATTCATTAACTCCAGTTCTCAAAGGAATTCCTATTTCATGCACAGGGTGATTTTACTCTGTATTTATTCCTTGCTTTTCAGAGAGAAAAGCTGAAGTCCCTCTTGGCAGCTAAAGAAAAGCAACATGAAGAAAGCTTAAGAACTATTGAGACTCTGAAAAATAGATTTAAATATCTTGAGGTATAGAAAACTTATTTATTTCCTATAATTCATAGTAGGTAGTAGTAGTAAGGGGCTTGGCATCAGACTTGAATTTGGATTATAACTCTTTGTTATAGTGTGACCTCAGGATTTTGTTTAAAATCTCTGAGTTTTTTTGCCTCTTTGGAAAAATTAGGACTATCTTGCCTTTCTTCAGAGAGTTGTAACGGTTAGGTGGAGTCATTACAGTTGACTAGCATGCTGTTGACACTTAGCTGCAGTCCAGATTCTTTTCCCCAACCTTCTTAGTTGTTTATTTGTACCTTTTCAAAACTTCATGTTTTTACCTGTAAATTTTCAGTGATTATAGTGGCAAGATTAATAATCATATAAATGAAAAGCAGTATGACCAGGGTTGTCTCAGGAAGAACTGTGTGCATATGGTCTAATTAGAACATCTTGGTGAGAATGGTATATTAATAAAGCTGACATCATATACTCATTTGGTTGAATCAGTTAGTTTTTAGTTTCTTCAAGATCATATTTTTAACTTTTATTGAAATATAATAGACATTTTAAAAGTGCACACTTAAAGTGTGCAAGTTAATAAATTTTCAATTTAAACACATCCAGATCAAGAAACAGAATGTTACCAACACTTAAAGCCTCTCTCACACTTGCTTCTTGTCACTCCTTGCTCTTGCTACATTAAGGGGAACCTCTCTCCAACTTTTAACTGTAATGCCATATTATATATTGTATAATGTCATTCATCATTAGGGATTGCTGAAAAAAGTGGCTGATTGAGAATGAATCTAATTCTTACTGGGAAATATAATTCCACAGTACTTTAAAAGTGTGTCTTAATTCACTTGTGCTGCTGTAACAAAGTGCCCAAGACTGGGTACTTTATAAAGAACAAAAGTTTATTTCTCACATTTATGAAGACTGGGAAATCCCAGATCAAGGTGCCCTCATTTGCTGTCTGGTGAGGGCCTCCTGGCTGCATCCTCATGTGGTGGAAGTATACGAAACTGTGTTCTCCTTTGGCAGAAGGTGAAAGGGCAAAAAGGGGGCTAAGCTAGTTCCTGGTAGCTCTTCTATAAGGCACTAATTCATTCATGAAGGCAAAGCCCTTGTGACTTAATCACTTTCCAAAAGGCTCCACCTCTGGTACCACCTAAGTTAAGTTTCAGCATATTTTAAGGGACATGCAGAGTAAATTGTTTTCTTTGTAAATAAAAAAAGTATGTGTGCAGCTATGAAAAAAGAATGTAAAGCATGGATGACTTTCACAGATATAATGTTGCATGAAAGCAATCTGAACAAAGAGTACATACTGCACAGTTCTATTTCTATGAAATCTAAAAGCAGATAAACAGATCAGTGTTGTTGGATATTTAATAGAGGCCACCCTTTGGTGAAGGGGTTATAGGCCAGAGTGGTGCATGAAGAAGCTCCTGGGCTGCTGTACATACTCTGTATCTTGACATGGGTTGTGATTTCACAGAGTATATGTGGGCAGAAATTATTGTAGTGGGTACTTAATGCTGGTGTACTCAGGCAGCTGAGTTAGGCCTTCATACATTTTTAAAAATAGAACAAAAGTGTTTTATTTATGGCTGCATTCTAAAGAGTGTTCAGAAACAGTTCTATAAGCTAAAACATAAGAATAATCTAACTGTAGGGATTTCTTTTTCACATTTGAAAGGTTATGAAATCTAGTCGTATTTGAAGACTTCTTTTTAAGGTTGTGAAATCTAGTCATAGTCAACATTTTCATAGAACAAATCATATTCTGCTTTGTGCAGTGTATGTGCATTAATGAACACATCAACCCTGTGTGATATGTTTTATTATTATCTGAACTTGATAAGTGAAGAAGCTGAAGAGCAGAGCGGTTTTACCCAGTGAGGGACTTCACAAATAGGAAGTAGCAGAGCCGAAACTTGAATCCAGGTATCTTAACTCACATGCTAGTTTTGCACTTAGAATAGCTTGAATGAGAAAATACAGGTGTATAAACAGGGCCTTTGAAGTAATCATCAAAGTCTGGCACCTGTAATTTGGGTACTGTTTTTACCTTACTTTTCTTCTACTCTGCATGTCTCAGGAATAAGTTGTTTTCTGTAGAGAAACTCTAGTTTTTCAGGTTTGTAACTTTCAATAAGGTCATAATAATCTGTAGAAAAGTTACCTTATTTTTCTTATCACAAAACCAATATGCATTTTTAAATTAGAAAATATAGTCAAACTAAAAGCAGAAAATAGAGACACCTGTCATCTTTGTGCTTTTAGTACCTGACCAATATCTTTGTAGTACTTTGTGCATTATTTGTTTTTCACATACTCATTTAACAGCTTGAGTCATATTGTACATTCCATTTTGTAACCCTTCTTTCAATATAATGGGGCTAGTTTCCTTAGTTGTTACAAATTAATTTTGATTAATTTTCATGCTAGGAATGATTTTTTACTTTCAAGAAGAAAATTACAGGACCTATTTATATGTGACCCAGTATTTATGAAAGCAGCCATTAAAATCTAAGAATAAAATAAATAAAATAAAAACTTTCAATAAAATCAGGCTTTCATGTTCATGATTTTTGCATCCATGGATTAAGTAAATTGCAGATTGAAAATATTTTTAAAATTGCATCTTTACTGAACACATACTATTTTCTTGTTAATATTCCTAAATAACAACTATTTCCATAGCATTTTTCTTGTGTTAGGTATTGTAAGTAATATAGAGATGATTTAAATTATATGGAAGGTATGGATAGAAGTTAAATGCACATACTGTACCATTTTCTATAAGAGACTTGAGCATCTATAGATTTTGGCATCTGTGGGGTCCTGGAACAAATCCTCATGGACACCAAGGAACAACTTAAATATCCATTACTGTATCATCTCACATGTTTAAAAACTTCTTAAACTGCCAATAGTATTACTGTGAGTTATGTGTAATACTTAATATGAAGGTATTTCCCTTACATTTATAGAAAAAATACATGGAAATATGAATATTTTAGAATAAGTATAATTTTATAATCCATGCATTTGTTTTCATTTGAGAAATAAAGATAACAAAACCAAATTAAGGTTTTTTTAACTCCTTGTGTGCATAACCTCGATCCCTTACATCCACATACAAGCCTATTTAGGTTTTTACAAACTCTGATATTAAATATTGCATGGAATGAAGAACTTAAGTAAGCTTAGAGATATTTTTCACACATTTAGAGCATTAAGATTTAATGGAGGTGGCATTAATTTAGCTATGAAACTCTAGACTTTTTATCATAGTAACTTAATGTAAGAATTTGATGTGTAGCTTTTGCTACTAATACTCCCAGAACTTCATCTGCATACACTTATTCTTGAAGTGTAATACTTTAGTTTATATATTAGATTCTTTGTATTTTCCTTACTTGGGAAAAGGAGCAAACCAAGGGTATTTCAAAGTATCTTAAGTGTTTATTGTATTCCTTTTCCTAACTGATACATTGACAGGTTTATTACTACCTTTGTGTGTAGGTCTTTGCCACAGTTTCATTTCCTGCTCTCTGTCTCCTTTTGCTTTCAAAAGTAATCAATATTCTATAAATTCCAAAGGAAAGGATTACACTAATATTTCATAGTCACTGAGTTAGGGTTTCTGCTCCCAACAGTCGTAAAGTAAAATGAGTCCTGGATGCAAACGGGGTACTTCTTTCCTTTTGAGGTAAAGCAGGGGCAAACACTAGATATTGAAAGTTGTTTCAGTTTGTTTGGGGCTCACTTTTTTTTTTCTATAGAGCAATAAAGTTTTTCCTTGAAACACTTAACTGCTTTTAAATGCTTAGTGAAGTTATTTATTCCCAGCTGATCTGTCTAATTGTTGTTAGTGCTGTGTCATTTTGTGGGATCAAATAGAATAATACTCAGGAGAAAAAAGGAATGTAAAAAATGTGGTTTTAATGACTGGATCATTTAGAGCTAAACTAGACTTTCAAGAAAATGAAGCAGCATTCACACAAGTGTTTTAATTTATGCTTCTGATTTCAGAGTGATCATTTAGGATCAGGAAGTCATTTCAGTAACCGTGAGTATAAAAATATTGGCTTTGTTATTATGGTTCTCCCAGTTCAAGTGAAAAAGAATATTTATACCTATTTATTTGTCTGATTGTACATAATACTCCTGCTGTTAAACTTTATACACCCACCTGTGTGTTACACTTCAGCAAGTAGAATAGGAAGAGGTTCAGTTGAATGCCATGACCTCTACCATAAACTCTGAGAGTCACTGAGGCCCTGTTTTCCTTTGCCACCTGTAGTTTTAAATTGTACATTGTATGAATTGTATGCCAATAGCATTACTGTGAGTTATGTGTAATACATTTGCCTTTTTGATCAGTAGACATTTTTCTTGTGATAGTTGGCTTTTCCATGGAAATAAAAACAAACACAGTTTTCTGATTTGGAGAAATCAATCTCAATTCAGATAAGCATTTTGTAATTACAAGTTTCATAAATAATTACTTATTTATTAATTATTTTAGGACTGTACATAGTCTTCACTTCATTTACTCTTCAGTTTTACACTTTCTCTAGAAAATCTATTTTTTTCTTCCTAATGAGTATTAAACTCTTCATTCAGTATAATGATAATACTTATCCTATGAATCTCAGAGAACATATTTTTATTTTGACTGTATATTTTATACTAATTACATAGCCTGTTTAACCATCTTTCATATTTCTAAAAAACAGCTTACTATAGACCTTACATAATTCCTTTATATTTAGTAGAAATAATAAGAAAAATAGATATTTTAGAACAAGAATAATTTTGTTGTACTTCCTGTTTTTTTTGATGGGATAATAAGTGAGGGAGTGATACTAAATGAATATTTATCCTACTTTGGTGTAGATATTTAAGGTGCCATTTATTTGGATTTATTTAGGAAAAGAAGATGTGCTTCTTAAACAAGGTCAAATGTATATGACAGACTCACAGGTAATATTGTTTCTTTTATTTAAAAAACATTTTAAGGAAATATTTGTATCTTTTAAAAAAGAGAAAACAGTCCTATGTATATATTTATTAAATCTGCATGCATTAAGTACAGATTTCATTATCAAAGTTGATCTTGCTTTCTTGAGTTTAATCAAAGCAGATTGCTGTTTGTGGTGCCCTCTAGAGTGTTTGTGGTAGTATTGGCTTAAACAAGATTTGAATTACAGTTTCATTGTCTTTGTTAATGAGCCTCTGTTATTATAGCAGTTAACTCTTCACATTTTCCCATGGAAGGGGGAAAACAGATATGACTAATTTTGAAATAAATTGTTTTGGCTTTGAAATGTATCCTTTCAATTAAATATACATTCTATGTTTTGGAAATTCACCTCTAAGTAAAGCAAGCTTCCAAGAGTTAGAGTATTGGCTTTTTTTCTTACTACTTATTTATCTATCTGCTTTAGGTCCTTATTTTCCAGTACGTTTAAGGTTTGTATTTCTAGAACCTTCTATAGCCTGTAGAACTGATGTATATTTGGGCTGTAAAGGCTTTTATATACCTTCTTTTGTGCAGTCAGAGTGAGTAGACCTAGGTAAAGTGTAAGGCCTCTTTAAGGTGGGAAATTCTAAGCGTCTAAGTGGAAGGAATGGTTATCAACTTACCAGTATTTAAGATTAGGTAAGTATGTGATTTTAATAGAATAGGCATATAAGTTATGAAGCTGTGTGTGTAATTTTGGGGGCAATTAAAATAGCCATAAGTCTAAAGATAATTGATAAATTAAAGGATAATTTGGCAGCAGATCCAGGCTAGGAAATTATTCCATGTTGTCAATTTTCTTTCTCTTGTTTCAGAAGAAGACAGTTTTCATTTAACTGCCCATTAAAATAATCGGATATGCTCATGACACATGGCTTTTATCAATGAATTAGTACTTGTAAAGAGCCTTTATTGTAATAGGCTATATTGAGAAAATAAAAATAGCTAAATTTAGTCCTTCATGATTGCATGTTCTGGTATTTGGACTATTTCACTCAGAAGTTTAATTATACTTCCTCTTTTTGTCAGCACTTAAGAGAGGGAACAAGGTACCCTTCAAATTTTATATGACTATTATGTACTATATTCTAATTTATCTTCCTAAGAAAACTTGTTTCCTTTTTGTGAGTTGACATTCTTTTGACAGCTCTTATACTAGCTGGGTTTATTTTGGTGGTATTTTAAAAATTTAAATAACATTATTTCAGAGTTAACAGTAAGGGTACTCAGAAGTCATATGTCTTATTAGAAGATAAATAATATGTAAGCCAAGCACTGTGGCTTATACCTCTAATTCTATCAACTCAGAAAACTGAGATAGGAGGATGATGAGTTTAAGGCCATCCTTATCAACTTAATGAGGCCCTAAGCAACTTAACAAGACCATGTCTCAAAAATAAATACATAAAAAGGGCTGGAGATGTAGTTCAGTGGTTAAGTACCTCTGGGTTCAACCCTCAAGTATCCCCCCCCCCAAAAAAAACAGCATCTGCTAAATAATTTGTAATTCTTAGTACATCATATATCATAAAACATAGAGGTAAATATTTTTTGATAAAATTGATATTTTTGTTTTATAGGTAGGAATTATGAATGGGGAAAGAAAGAGAAAATAGAGCCCAGAGACCACAGCTATTTTTCTTCCTTATTCTGCCAGAAATAGATTCAAGCATACAGAACTCCCAAAATATTTTGAGTATGTTAAAAAAAATCATATTCAAAATTGCTTTTCTTGCCGTAGAAATCAGTGATGTGATTTTTAGTCCTCAACATACCTACTTACTCTGAAAAATCCTTTGACTCCTGATGATGTGCAGCCTTTTCTACAGTTTGGCAAATAAGAAATCTTTGTCTTCTTTAGACTTTTGTGATTGATGCCTTGTTTTCCTTTTCAGTGTACTTCCCCAGGTATGCCAGCTCATATGCAAAGCAGATCTATGTTAAGACCACTGGAGCTATCTTTACCCAGTCAAACCTCATACTCTGAAAATGAAATTTTAAAGAAAGAGTTAGAAGCAATGCGAACCTTCTGTGATTCAGCAAAGCAAGATCGACTCAAGCTCCAAAATGAACTGGCTCACAAGGTGGCAGAGTGCAAAGCCTTAGCATTAGAATGTGAAAGGGTCAAGGAGGACTCAGATGAACAGATAAAGCAATTAGAAGATGCATTAAAAGATGTGCAGAAGAGAATGTACGAGTCAGAAGGTAAAGTGAAACAAATGCAGACCCATTTTCTTGCCCTTAAAGAGCACCTAACCAGTGAAGCAGCCACAGGGAATCACAGAGTAATGGAAGAACTGAAGGATCAGCTGAAAGACATGAAAGCAAAATATGAAGGCGCATCTGCAGAAGTGGGAAAGTTAAGAAACCAAATCAAACAAAATGAGATGTTAGTAGAACAGTTTAAGAGGGATGAAGGTAGGTTGATAGAAGAAAATAAGCGATTGCAGAAGGAATTTAGTATGTGTGAAATGGAACGAGAGAAGAAAGGAAGAAAGGTCATGGAGATGGAATGCCAGTTAAAAGAATTGTTAGCAAAGGTGGCCCTTTCCATTCCAACAGAAACATTTGAAAACATGAAGAGCTTATTATCAAATGAAGTGAGTGAGAAAGCAAAAAAACTGGCAGAGATGGAAAGAGAATATGAAAAATCACTTAGCGAAATTAGACAGCTGAAGAGAGAACTTGAGAACATTAGGGCCAAGTTCGCCCAACACGTGAGACCAGAGGAACATGAGCAGCTCAAGAGCAGGTTAGAACAAAAGTCAGGAGAGCTTGGAAAGAAGATCACTGAGCTAACACTGAAAAACCAGGCACTACAAAAGGAAGTTGAAAAAGTTTCTCTGGATAAGAAGCTCCTCAACCAGCAAGTACATAATCTAACAATTGAAATGAAAAATCATTATGTTCCTTTAAAGGTAAGTGAAGAAATGAAAAAATCACATGATATAAATATTGATGATTTGAATAAAAAGCTTTCAGATGTAACACAAAAATATACAGAGAAGAAGTTGGAGACAGAGAAATTGCTGATGGAAAATGACAGATTAAGTAAGAATGTTAGCCACCTGGAAACTGTGTTTATACCTCCTGAGAAACACGAAAAAGAGATAATGGCTCTGAAATCCAATATTGTTGAACTTAAAAAACAGCAATCTGAACTTAATAAAAAATGTGGTGAAGACCAAGAGAAAATTCATGCACTCACGTCTGAAAACACAAGTTTGAAAAAGACTCTGAGTAGCCAGTATGTACCAGCCAAAACCCACGAAGAGATTAAGACTGCCTTGAATAACTCTTTAGATAAAACTAACAGAGAATTATTTGATGTGAAGAAAAGCTTTGAAGGTATAAATCAAGAATTCATAAAAATAAAGGATGAGAATGAAATTTTAAAAAGAAACCTGGAAAACACTCAGAATCAAATAAAAGCTGAGTACATCAGCCTGGAAGAACATGAGGGAAAGATGCGTGTTATGAACCAGAGCCTAAAGAAGGAGCAGGACGCTAATGCTGCGATCCTGACCAAGTACAACCAAGGCCAGGAAGAGATTGTGACACTGCATGCTGAAATTAAAGCCCAGAAGAAGGAACTTGATACAATACAAGAATGCATCAAGCTAAAATATGCCCCAATTATCAGCTTTGAAGAGTGTGAGCGAAAATTCAAAGCGACAGAGAAAGAACTAAAAGAACAGCTATTAGAGCAGACACAGAAGTGTACTGTCAGAGAAGAAGAGGCCAAGAAAAGCAAGCTAGAGAATGACAAGTTAAAGAAGGAGATTTTCGCCCTTCAGAAAGAGTTAAAGGATAAGAGTGCTCTCATGGTGAATTCCCGTGAAACCGAAAGAGCATTAAGCAGAAAAACAGAAGAGCTAAACAAAGAGTTAAAAGACCTGTCACAGAAATACACTGAAGTAAAGAAGGAGAAAGAGAAGCTCATGGAAGAAAATGCCAGACAGGGTTCGGAGATCCTTGCAGCACAAAATCTTTTGCAAAAACAGCATGTTCCATTGGAACAGGTTGAGGCTCTGAAAAAGTCTCTTAATGGCACAATTGAGAATTTAAAGGAAGAACTGAAGAATAAGCAAAGGTGTTTTGAGAAAGAACAACAGACGGTGACCAAACTGCATCAGCTGTTGGAGAATCAAAAGAACTCTTCAGTACCCCTGGTGGAGCATTTGCAGATTAAGGAAGCATTTGAGAAAGAGGTTGGAATCATGAAAATTAGCTTGAGAAAAAAGGAAGAAGAAAGCCAAAACAAAACTGAAGAAGTCTCTAAACTCCAGACCGAGGTTCAGAACACTAAACAAGCATTAAAGAAATTAGAGACAAGAGAGGTAGTTGATTTGTCTAAATATAAAGCAACAAAAAGTGATTTGGAGACTCAGATTTCCAATTTAAATGAAAAACTGGCCAATCTCAATAGAAAGTATGATGAAGTATGTGAAGAGGTTTTGCATGCCAAAAAGAAGAAAGATGAAAAGGATTTAGTACATTTCAGCATTGAGCAAGAAATCAAGGATCAGAAGGAACGATGTGATAAGTCCTTAACAACAATCACAGAGTTACAGAGAAGAATTCAAGAATCTGCTAAACAAATTGAAGCAAAAGATAATAAGGTAGGCACAGTATAGTCTGTGTGGCTATGCACTGAAAACCCCAGAGCAGGACGGTCAGAATAGAATGGGATTTTTTAACCATAGAATTCCACAGACAAGCTGACAAAGTTATTAAATAAGTGCCCCTTTTTGTTATGACTATTGATGTGCAGAAGATCCTGAATTGAAAAAAAAAAAAAACACAAAAATCAAAAGCATTTTTCCTAATGTTCCTTGGATAGTACAGCCAAGAGTTGAAAAAAATACTGTGATTCACTGGCTTCCTAGAGGAATAGTCAGAATTCAGTGGGGCCAGTATATAGTGCCCCTCCTTTCTTATTGAGTTGAATACTGTACATTCTTTAGCCCCTTATTCTCCTTCCTAAAGCCTATCCTGTCCACTCTAGGCTCCAGTAAAGGGTTCATCTTCTAGAACTCATATTTTGTTTTGGCTTTTCCATGCATTTAAAACATTTGTATTACTGCATTAGAATTGTGTGACTGATCTTTCCAACCAGCTTTGAAGAGCAGGGTTTATCACTTAATTTTCTTTCTTCTCTTTCAATCTCATGGTACAATTTACAGAATAGGTATTCAACAATATTTTGAAACTGGTAGTCACATAATTTCTGCTGTGGACATGAGATGAAGATTGACTACAGTTTTATCTAATCAACAAGTCATTATTAAGTGCCTTCTATATGGCAGCTGCTAGGAACTAGCAATGAGTAAAAGCAGATTCAGACCCAGCACTCCTCACTAGAGAGGTATAAGTACAAATTCTGGCACATCTTTCCATATAATTCAGAATGTAAATTCTCTAACTTTGTTTGGAGGGTGGTTATGAATATGATAGCATATAGTTTAATAGTACATGTTGTCATTTATTGAGCATGTACTAGGTATATATTTATGACCTCATTGATTTTCTTGACTATGAAAGGTTTTTCACCTTTCAAGGCTCAGAAAAATAAAGGAAATTAGCTAAACTTTCCACATCGAGTCTGACTGACTTCAAAGTCTGTGCTCTTTCCACTTCTCTAAAGAGCCTCCCTATTTTTTTTCTTTCTTTACACAAAGTAGTCTTAATAATACAACTTCCGTAAAGAACAGGGTACACAAGTTAATTTTAGAAATACATGAGCTGTGTTCTTTTACTTTTTACACTTTGTCAGATGGAGATGCCTCTCTGTTTCAAACATTGCCTCGAAGATAGTTTCTGTACCTTCATAGATCCTTTTTTATTATTTGAAATCAAGACTAAGTTCATTCTTAATCTTAGGATGTGTTATATTCTTTAATTCGATACTTTTCTAAGAAATTTACTGAGAGGAATTAAGTCAAAGAAATGCAAATAATATGTTGTATATATTGTTGATAATGATCTTTGCAATATTTCTACCTCATTTTTCTGGCAAAAAAAGAATAAATGTCTCAAGTAAGGATTGATTTCTGTACAAAGGTGTTTGTTATAAAGAATAAGTAAATGATATGTGTTTCTACCATGACTTTTTTCTCTTTTTCAAAAGATAACTGAATTGCTTAATGATGTAGAAAGACTAAAACAGGCGCTCAATGGCCTTTCCCAACTCACATACACAAGTGGCAGCCCCACCAAGAGGCAGAGCCAGCTGATTGACACTCTTCAGCACCAAGTGAAGGCCCTGCAGCAGCAGCTGGCTGTGAGTACCAGACATACAGGCCTTGGCTGGCAGCTGTCTGTCTTAGTTTGTGTGTAAGGCTTTTCTGGAGAGCAAATGGATTTGTAGCTGTGTTCACATCTAAGAATGTAATCATTTTTGCCCCAAATTACCTCTGTTGGGGGCATAATAATATCATTTATTTAGTGCCTAATATATGCCAGGCACTACCTTAAATACTTTACTTATTTTAAGTATAAAGTTTGTCTTTATCAGTATTCTTCAAACAGATTTTATTCCCACTGTTTGATTCTTAAGAAAACAAAGATTAAAATACTTCATGTTTGGGATCATAGAGCTGGAATTTAAACTTGGGATGACCAGTTATCAATCTAGCATCTTTCTCATGCAGTGTGTGCTCTAAAATATTGGTCTACTAACCTAAGGGAAATTTTCATTATCTTCTATCCTTCCGAACAAAAATAGGAATTCCTATGCTTTTATGCTTTATAACTTTAAAGAAGGTATCTGGATTTAGAAGTCCTTAAAGATGGGAGCTCTGGTGTTAGTCCTGCAACTCAAAAGTGAGTGGCATGGAACATTCCCTTTAATCTTTGGCTTCCACATCCATAAAATAGGATGAGAAGCCCCTTTTTAAAAAAATTTTTTTTTGAGACAGGGTCTCACTAAGTTGTCTGGGGCTTTGCTCAGTTGCTGAGGCTGGCTTTGAACTTGTGATTCTCCTGCCTCATTGCATCCAGCTTGTTCACATTTTTAATTGAGCTAGTACACATTGAATGCAAAGTAAAGCATGACCTAGTCAAATGCAAATTGTTGCCAATGTTTTCCTATTCTGTAGGATTTGGTTATGAATTGGTTTTGAATAGAAAGAAGTTATTGCTCATAATTTAGATCTGAAATGTCCCCCAGAGGCACATGTGTTAAAGACAGTCCCCAGCTCCATGCTTTTGGGAGATGGTGAAGAGTTTAATAGGTGAGGCCTAGTGGGAGGTCTTCCAGTTATCAGGAGTGTGTCCTTGAAGGGGATACTGGGACCCCCAGCCTGTCCCTTCCTCTCTGTCCTGCTATGAGGTGAAGAGTTTGTTCCCCCGTGCATGCCCTACTATAATGTGTATGCCTCACAATAGGGCCTGAAGCAGTGGGGTCTTCAACCTCTAAATGAGAAATGTCAGATACAGAATTAGGAATGTAATACCAGATTCTGAAGGACAGGGTTCTGTCTTCATCTATTTGTGTTGCTATAACTGTAAATAACAGACTGGATAATGTCTAATGAACAGTAATTTATATGGTCTGTGGTTTTGGAAGTTGGGAAGTCCGAGGTCAAGAGGCTGCTGCAGATGAGGGCCTTCTTGTTGTGTAAAAGCGGGGCAGAAGGCATCATGTGTGGGTGAAACGCATTCTTCATCAGGACCCCACTCTAGTAATCCAACTCTGTGATAGTGACATTAGTCCATGAATGAGGGTAGAGTCCTCATGATCTAATCACCTCTGAGAATTCCCCACTCTTCACACTGTTGCATTAAGAATTAAGTTTCTAACAGAAATTTTGGGGGACACATTCAAAGCATCCTTGTTTCCCAGGAAGGAATAATTACTGGTGGAGTGGGAGCCTGTTTCAAGAAGAGAGTATTTGGCCTGAACTTAGAAAATAGATGGTGTTTGGTAGGCATAAGGAAAATAGAGGGTCTTCTAGGAAAAGGAAATAGGGTGAAGAGCCATGGAGAAGGAGTGTAAGGTGGCATGGCCCAGCGCAATTGAAAAAACAGACAAAAAAACGCCTTGCCTGAATCTTGAGACTAATATATGAAGCCAAATTGTGGAGGACTTTAAGAACCAAGCTGATGAGTCACTTATAAATAAAGAAGTGCCACTCAGAGTGTTTAAACTAAAAGGAGGTGAGGTAAGAGCTACCTCAGTCTTGGAAGCATGGTAGGGAACCCAGGTTGGTGACAGGGAGATAAAATGAAAACTTTGCCAATAATGCAAAGCACAAGTTGATAAGTGTCTAGCAGGTTCATGCAGTATATGTAAACCAAGACAGTAAATTCATGTTACCTAGGATAAGTGGTATTGCTTTCATGATGAGTATTCTCGCACATTCATTAGAGAAGTTTATCTTCTTTCACGTTATGGAATTCAGTGTCTGGTAGGTCCCAGGTGGTTTGTTCTAAGAAGAGTAGCAGAAGTCCTTTGATAGGTTGCTATTTTGTAGCATCAGGCCCGAGGAGAGCATTGTCACAAGCCTCCACATGTTTGGAAATGTAAATGCTGATATTCTGATATGTCCCATCTTTCCATATTTCTAGGATGCCGACAGACAGCACCAAGAAGTAATTGCAATTTATCGGACACACCTCCTTAGTGCTGCACAGGTGAAAAACTATTGCTCTGTTAGAAAGGGTATTGTTTGAGAGAAAATTAGCTTTTATTTTCAAGTAAATTCATGTAAAAGTAATTGATGTTTAAAGTAGCTGTGTCCCATATGCTTATTTAAAAATAATTGTGTTTCTTTTAATCATGGCTTGCATATCTCCCAGAAAAATTTACAAAGCTATATGGCAACACAACAACTTAAATTTAGTGTTGTCTCCATCTGCTTGTCACTCATTTTTTAGACAGTTTGGCAACATATGATCGCAGAGCACATTAATAGTGTTGCTAGCTGGAGATAAAGCCTTGACATCTACACGTGGCTGTCAGCTGAAAGAGGAGAGTGGAAAGGGCTTCATATGTTTCTTGGTAGCTTAGGAGTATTTCTTTGAAATGTAGAGAATACTAGAGAAGTATGAAGAGGACAAAGAGGGCATGTGTAGAATAGTGATAAGTAAAGAAAACTTGGTCTATTAAGAGATTATCATATTTATTGAGCCTTAAATTTATTGAAGCATAAGCTTACAAATTTTCTTCTTTAGGGGTATATTGAGAACACTGTTTCTTTTTAGATCATATCAAGGAAATACTTAGCATATTAAAATATATTCTTAATGCTCTGTATGAGCAACATCTCCAAAACTGCACGAGCAGCATCTCTAAAATTCTCAGAATAGATTTCTCAGGAAGATGTGTGTACTACAAGAGACAAATGTTAGAGTGACAAGTGAGATACTAGGAATTATTTGGATTTGAAGGGTGTTAGGGCACACTGTTAAATTTTTTTTAAAAAGGGGGGGGAATGAGTGTTGAGAAGAAATTTCAAATGAAGACCACTTTTAAAAAGAGAACTAGATAAAATAATAAAAAGAGAAGTCCTTTATAATATCAAATTCCTAAAATCAAAAGTCCTACTGTTTCTGTAGGTGGAAGGGGAGTCGCTGAAAAAGAATGAAGGGTCTAATAAAAAAAGGCATCCATACTGCCATCTTTTGAGTAGATGGAGGATAACCTGAGATTTCAAAGTTTATTGTAGTTATTAGAAAAAACTGTATGTGGACACCTGAATGGGAAGTTTGGAGGGGAATGGTAGAAGAGCATAGAAAATCTGTGTTAGAGAGGATGTGAAGCACACTGGTATTGGCCACAGGAGGAGGAGCTTGCTCTCACTGAAAGATGCAACAAACTAACAAGCCTTTCCACTTAGTATAATCTACATTTCTGAAATTTGAGATTATTTTCTACTGAGTCCTAATGAAACATAACAAAAGCAATTGGCATTTGAAATAGTCTTGCCTTCTGGCATCATAAAGTTAACTAAGAATTCAGTTTAGTCAACTGTGGCTAATGTTTGAAATTTAAGCATCCTGCTGTTATAAAAACAGATTTCAGAAGCAAAACTTTATATTAATAGAAGTGTTGTGCTAAAACCTATTCAAGTATTTCAACAAGGAAAAAAGAAAAAAAGAAGTAGAGGATTGTTGAAAGCCCACCATATTGACTCATTTAATGAAGTCTCTTTCTACTTTTTAAAATCTCTCCTCCCCTCCCTCCTTCTCTCCCTGATTCTTTCTCTTCCTTTTCTTTCTTTCTTCTTTCTCCTTTTCTTTTCTTTAGTACTAGGATTGAACCCCGGGTTCTCTATCACTTTGTTACAATCTCAGCTTTTTTTTTCTCCCTCTTTATTTTATTTTTTGAGACAGGGTGTGTTATTTGATCCTTCTGCCTCAGCTTCTAATAGCTGCAATTACAGGCATGTACTAGCACACCTGGATAAAGTGTTTCTTTTAAAATACAAATCACATCAGGCATACACCTGTAATTCCAGCTACTTGGGAGGCTAAAGCAGGAGGATCTCAAGTTCTGGACCAGCTTCCAGAATAACCCAGAAAGACCCTGTCTCAAAAAGCATTGGGGATGTAGCTCAGTGGTAAAGCACTCCTAGGTTCAATCCCCAGTACCTCCCACCTGCGCTCTCACCCCACCCCCCCAAAAAGGTCACTGTGCATGTACAATGATGGTCAACCTACTCAGTAACAGGGGAGATACAAATGAACAAAGGGCATTGTTTTTTTTTTTTTTTTTTATCTGTGGGATTGGTACATATTAAAAGATGACAACCCATAGTGTTGGCCATAGTGTGAGGGAAATAGGCATTTATATCCTGTATGGATGGAAATATAAATTGTTATAATCTCCGTAAGAGGGAACTTTTGTAGTACTTCACAAAATTAAAATATGAATCAGCTCTTCAACCCAGCAATTTCTTCTCTAGATATTTGTCTGTAAAGGTTGGAAATACATTTAAAGTATTTTCATCTTTAGGGAAATAGGTAAAGAAATTTAATACAAAGAGAAATTATACAAATATTGATTAAGTAGCTCTAGTGAAAGATGTCTATGACACTAAGTAAAAAAGCAAGTTGTAAAGTGATATTTATTTTCTGATCACATTTCATATGAAAACATAATGTGAGTATTATTTCCCCTCAATTATTTAGAAAATTATTTAGGAAAAAAAAAATCCTCAGCAGTGGCAGCAGCAGCAACAACAATAACACAAATATGTAGTTGACTTTGTTCATTTGGACCTTAAGCTACCAACCATTTAAAGCCATTATTAAAAAAGATTGACAAGCTTGTCCATTTGTTTTCTGTAATAGATGTTAAAATCAACTAGTGCATACTACTTATTGACTTTTTTTAAATTTTCACAATAGAGCTGTTCTTTCTTTTCCATTACTTCCTGTAGCCTATCACAGTGGTGAGGGTTAACATGGTTTAGCATGGTGGTGAGGTTTAGCATGTGGTCAGTCACAACCTCTTGGGCCCTGCGATAAAGGCTTTGACTTTCGATATCTATGTAAACAATGATGACATGAAACGTTTCTTTCTCTCAGGGTCACATGGATGAAGATGTTCAGGCAGCCTTACTACAGATCATTCAGATGCGGCAGGGGCTTGTGTGCTAGCATTAGTACCGAGCAGCCCCAGTCTGACTTCTCCTCCTGGTGCTGAGCATTCTGTGTGCAACTCTTACTCTTCTGGGCCTGACTCTGCTACTGGAATTAAAATAAAATATATTTTGTTCCATTAATAGGGTTTTTTTTTTTTTTAGATGAGTATGTTACTGAGTTTTTCAATATCAAGTTCAATCTTATATTCTATATATGTTTATTTTACAGTTTGCAAACCACATAACACTTTGCCTTGCACTAACTACGTACCTTTGAGCTACTTAAAATATGAGCCATCAGAGTGGTTCCGTATGAAGAGGGGTTAGGCAGGAATATTTGTTTAAAGATTTATTTAAGAGAAAGTAATTTGTTTGGTGACTACTTTTAAGTGTATCAAAAAGATCTTTTAGTTGATCCTGAGCCTCATGTAGTTTTAAGGCATGCATAGTAACTTGGCTGGCCAAGTTCTGTCTTTATTGAGATAACTTAATGAGAGACTTTAACTTCTTTTGGAGGTACAGTATTTTTCTTATGCTAATAATTTTTATGCCTTTTAAAGTAAATTTCTTTTCATAAATGTTTTGTAGTGCTAAGTTACATTTAGATTAAACATAGGGGTAAAATATTTCAGGAATTTATAATAAAGTTCCTACATAATCTTTACAATGATGTCTTCATTTTTTTTTTAACCTGTGGTGACTTTTGTTACCACAGTATTTGGAGAAAAATGATATGCTAGATTTTAAAGTGTCAAAAAATTTATAGACTTTTTTTGAGCAGTTACTTTGACATTTGCTGCTGTATTATATCAAGCACTCATTATACATGCATCCTCCAGATGTTTCATACTTATAGGAAAATTATATTAATGACATTAATAATGTGAAATACAAAATTAGTATTAGAGAATTGATTTTCAAAGACATTTTAAGTTAGACAAAAGTGCAGTAACACAGTAAACTTTATAGAGAGCAAGAAAATAATGAAATAGGACATGTTTATAGTAAATGATATAACTGTTTTTATTGATTACATCTCATTAAGGAAAGTTTATATGTTATTTTTATTAATATTTTATTTACCATTCAGACCAAAAATTTAGCAAATAGCTGAACAAAGTGATCATTTTGGCTGACTTTTCTTTAATTGCAAAATGTGCCTTAGCAAAGTCTTTCACTACCCTGAACCAGACATGTTTGTCCCATCTCTGCGTAATGGGGAAAAAAGACCATCAGAATAGCTTCTCAAACCAAAGAATAAGCCACTGTATTTCTTCAGTATAGAAACAATGGTGAAAAATCAGAATTGGATTTATTTTTAATTCTCTAGGTAGACACATAATTTACATAAGCAATATCTGATTTCTTTAATTATATACATTGTTGTCATTTATCCTGGGTTCTGTTTAGTGACTTTTAGGTCACCATTGAAGCTCAACAGTGGAGCAAAGTTCTAGACTGAATACTTGAATTCAGTGTTGTATTTTTCTTAATAAGGCGGGAAGGGAACTTTATGTGTATTTTATTTTGTCTTCAACCATCAATAAAATATTTTCTGTAGAGTATTGTTTTGAACCCACTCCTTATAAAAATTTGGAACTAGTTCATTTCCAATCTTTGAATATTTGGAGTAGAAAATCAGGTCAAAATTCAGAATGGTAATCATTTTCAGTTAACTGTCTAGAATCCTTTTAAGCTAATCCTGTTGTCTCACCTTTTGATATGAAAGGCAGAGATTGCATTTATAACACTGATAACTAAAGCCTTTTATTTAGTAAACAAGTAGGACATAGATAATGGATAGTGCTAATCTCTCTGCCATTCAGTGTTCAGAAAGACTGTGAGAACTGAATTTAGGGCCACATTCAGAGAATTATTGTCTACAATGTTGCAGGTGCCCTCTAGGATAATGACTGAATTCCTGCTGCAGTGCAATCTTTTATCCTTTAATCCTTAGTTTCTCTTATCGCTCTTATCAGTCCTGCTTCATCAGAAAAGCTAATTCCCTTTGACTGAGGGTCAGTGTTTTGATTAAAATTAAATATTCATGCAATAAACACTTTAAATTATAGTGACTTGATCACTAGCTATACCTGCATTGTTCTAAAATTTAGTTTAGTCTGTTATGGTTTGAATCTTAAATGTTCCATAAAGGCCCATGTGCTAAAGGCTTGGCTACCAGCCTGTGGTGCTATTGGGAAATGATGGGACTCTTGGGGGAGGGGGTGACTACTGGAAGGAAGTTAGATCACTGGGGCATGCCCTGGAAAGAGAGACTGGGATTCTGGTCTCTCTCCCTTTTCCCTTCTCCCTCCTCTATGCTTTCTGACTACTATCAGGTAAGCAGTTTCCTCTGTGGCCCTGCTTCTGCTATGGTGTACTACCTCACCACAGGCTGGAAAGCAACAGGACCAAGCAACCATAGACTGAAACTATGAGCCCAAATAAACATTTCCTATTTTTAAAGTTGGTTATGTCAGACATTTTCCCATAGCAACAAAAAGCTAACAGTCTTTCTTATGGCTTGCTTTTTATTTAAAACCTTTTCTCTTGACCCTAACCAAATTTTATACAGTTTATTTATTTTTGTTTTTCTAAATGCATTGGCTCGTTGCTGCTTTAAAAATCTTGTGGCTTTTGAACAAAATCATTTCTCCCCAAGTGTTTACCAGCTTTTCTCTAACAAGAACCTTACCTGCCTGAATGGCTCCTGTTCTTTAGCTTGCTTTTTTCAAAGTCGGAAAGGGAAGAGTTTCAAATTAACTTTTGGGGTTCATGATGCTGTATCAGTACCCGCTTACATGTATGCCAAATTTGACTCAACAGTTGTGAGCTTCTCTTGACTTTTGCTTCACCTGATGGAAAAAAAAAAACAAAAACTACTTATTGCCTCCTTACTTTCCTCATCCAGAATTCTGCAACCTTGTGGTGATTTTTTTTCTTTATGTATGTTCACCAAAGTAATGGAATGGCAGTACTCTTACAGCAAGATCTGGCTTGGAGAGGAATTGCCTGTGATGAACATGTAAAATACAGCAGCATATGGTTGGCAGAGAAGAAAAGAATCTAGATCTTACTTCAGCCCCCTAAATATCATAAGTTAATTTGGTGGGGGGGGGGGGACAACAGATGAATAAGACAGAGTTTGCACCAAAAAATAGATTGTACACTAAATAGAAAATGGAATGTAGAATAGTCATTTCAACTCCCATTTCATTCAGTGATGTCCCCAGCTAAGCTGGATCTGATACTTCGTGGTTGGAAATTCAACGCGTTTCCATGTTTTGAGACAACCTTGCAGATCAGTGTCTCTAGGTACATATTAACCTGCTTTTTAGCATGGTTTTTGGTTTTACTACCTGTATTGACCTTTGGCTCAAGTGAGTCATGATTGTACAGATTTTTTTTTTTTTTTAAATCAAGCTGCAGAGATGACATTCCAACAAGACTCCCTGGGCAGTGGGAGTGCTGGTGTTTAGCATAATTGGGCATGTGGCATCACTGTTCTGTTAGAGGGCGTTTTCATTATTTATGCCTGCATGAACAAACATTGGGATGAATGAATTAAACCAAAAGGGGAAGGTAACAAAAATGTCATATGTAAATGAAAAAGAGCCAGGACTTGTGAGGTTTACTGTCACATGTGTGTATGTATATATGTTTATATGTGTGTGTGTATGTTCTCAGTGAAATAATGGGAGACATCAATAAAAACAATGCCCCTTATAATTGTTATCTGCCATCAAATTGTTGTACTTAATAGGACTGATTTTTATTTTATATTTTAAGCAGGTTTGCAATTTTTTTTTCCTTGATAGCAGTCCTGGGAATATTCTGAATTCTGTAAAGAGTTTAGAGAGGTTATTGCCTTCTTAATAATTTAGAGCTTCTATTGCTCTGCCAACTCAGAAGATTAACATTTAATAGAAAAAAATTATATATCTATAATTCAGTCACAGCTATTAGATCAGATGGATTTTACATTAAGTGAAAAAGATGTTGAGCATTTAAGGACCATTAAGCTACAGGACTCTTTTATTAGGTTTTAAGGCCTCTGAGCCAGGGTCCTGCTGCGAAGAGTATTTATTTTACATATACAGAACACATTAAGGATGGGAAAAGGCCACACATTTTAAAAGAAAATAGACCATGAAAAAGTGTGATTTTCCACATTGTGAACAGCTACCATACAGATTCAGTCTTATTTTATAATAATTAGTTTTATGCATCATTAAGTAGCTTTCTTAGAGGCTTGGAGAATAGGATGAAGGCCACTTTTAAAAAGGAACCTGCAAGAAATTGAAGTAGCTCTATCTCCTCTGTTGGTATTGCACTTTGAGAAACCAAATTTCAGGTTGTTTCCAGGATCCTCAAGGTTGCTATATATTGTCAAAAAAAATCTAAGTGTGAGAGCATCTTCTCTGGAGAAATGCCTTCTCCTTCTCTCCTACCCAGAGAGGAGAAGCTGAGTTCACATTTTGTAGTGATGCCTCAGGGGTCAAGGGCAGGCTGGACCCTCAGGGGTCTGACCCTGAGAAGAACCCCTGGCCTATGGGGAGAATGTCCACTCCATCCTTTGATGGGCTTGAAGTACTTTGCATGTTGGAGCTACAACATGACTAGCAATATCTTAATATAAACTTTTTTTGACTACCTATACCATGTCCTGCCCCATTCCCACCCCCAAAACTAGGAAAAGTTTAATGTGAGAGAATAATGGCAAGTAGACTGAGTAGGGTGTGGGAACGGAGTTAGTGTAATTTGTAACTTTTCCCTACAATGTCCAAACAAATTTTGTGATTTTCTTTCTTGCTATTCTAGGCTTTTTTTAATTGCTTCTGACTGAAGTGGCACCTTATGGGCTGCTTAGAAATTTTCTTCAGGATTTAAAAATGAAGCCGATTCATATTCAGAGTCTTCTTGCTAAAAATCTGTTAAACCAAAATAAAAATGACTACTACTTAAATTTTCCCCCTCTTTGTTGCTGCTGCAAACATAGTCTCAATACAATGAGTTGCAAGATCTTATTTATGCACAATTAAAAGTCATTCTTCTTTGGACAAATGGAGAGATGAACAATGTCAGGACTACCAGTAC